ATGTTTTATGATTGTGTTTTAAAAAATTAGAAATGACAGGAACCTTGGGAGAAAGTGACCATGTCATTTAAAAATTCTTGATCAGTGAGAAGAACGTCAGAAAGGTTGTTGTGCTCTTAGACATTTTATGTGCAGCCTGTGTTCATAGGATCATACATTTAGGGCTGAAAAGGACCTTTCAGGTCATTGAGTTCAACCTCTCATCTTACATGTGAGGAAACTGAAGTCCGGAGAGGTTAAATGATTTGCTTGGGGTCATAGGTAGTGTCCAAGGTAGGGTTCAGAGCCAGGTTTTCCTGACTCTGAGCCCAATGCTTTAACCACTAGGCAATTTTGCCTCGATTTAGAGACAAGATAGATTGTTCTTGCGTAATTTCAGTCACGTCCAACTCTCTGTGACCCATTTGGGGTTTTCCTGGCAAAGATACTAGAGTGGTTTTCCAATTCTTTCTCCAGCTCATTTTATAGATAAGGAAGTGAGACAGACAGGGTTAAGTAACTTGCCCAGGGTCACACAGCTAATAAGTGTCTGAGGCCGGATTTGAACTCAGGAAGATGAGTCTTCCTGACTCCAAGCCCAGGGCTCTATCCTCTGACCACCTAGCTGCCCTTTCTAGCCTCAGTCAATAAATCACACCCTATTATGTGTGCTGGTTTAAGGGAATGTGGTTCCAGAGGTAAGGAAAGCTTTCAAGAATTAAATTTTCATGACACAATATCAAATTATGTAGATGAAAGAGAAAGGGGGAAACTGAAGTAATTGATGAGGCTGAACAGGGTGCACTATACTGGAAACCAATTTTTTTTAAGTACTTATTTATTCCTTTTGCTTTTAATGTCAGTCATCATTGGATGTCATAAATGCATCTTAACAAACCAAAACAGTTAAATAAGACTAACTCACATAGTGGCTCAAGTAGGTATTATATGAAATATTCTATATCCACCACTTTCCATCTCTGTTACAACATGGGAGGTGATTTCATATCTTTTCTTCAGGACCAGCAACAAGTCAATATAGTCCCTCAGCACTGGGCATCATTTTAGTGTTCTTTTGTTTCCTTGATTATGATCATTGTTTTCTCTTGGTTTTGTTTACTTCTCCCAGCATCATACTCATCTCCTCTACCTCAGAACCTTGGACTCTGCTCCTGGGATGTACCACCTCTTTCACTGTGTTCTTCTCCCATTACAATAGAAGCTCTTTAAAAAATGTATATTAAAAGCTTTATCTTGGGGGGCAGCTAGGTGGCGCAGTGGATAGAGAACTGGCCCTGAAGTCAGGAGGACCTGAGTTCAAATGTGACCTCAGACCAAACACTTGACATTAACTGTGTGACCCTGGGCAACTCACTTAACCCCAATTGCCTTTAAAAAAAAAAAGCTTTAACTATCTACTTTCTATATAAAATTTTCCCCCAAATTTAACCATTCCTTATTAAAATGTGGGGTTTTTATGGCACTATTTATTACAAATTTCTGATAAAGGAAAATAACACTGGAGATATTTTACATTTAAAACTTTAGTGATAAGGATACAATATAGCTCATTATGAAGGACCATGACATCAGAAGCACTTGAGAAATTCAGCACACAGCTGATTATTATCTGCTTTCATATGGTCTCTTTCATATGTTCCTCCTAAGAACTTAATATGGTATTCATCACATCCTTTAAAGAAGTTCATGGATACTGATGCTCTCTTATCATTATTCATCCTGTGTACTGGACTTGAAAGGGAATTGGCCTAAATGACTATAATGCCAAAGAGATAAAATAATTTTATACTTCCAACGAATAGTTTCTTTGTGGTGATTGGTATTATTTCTCCTTGCTTAGCATATGGAGATGTAAAGATGTACCACCCGATTGAAGCCCTAACAGACTAACCCATTTCTCCAGAACCTCAATCCCATGCCTGTATCCTGGGTCCAAGGATATAAAAAGAACCAGAGCCATAGGATTCAGGACAATACAAGGTCCTTGTCGTCTATCTGGCGAACTTACATGTATTCTAGATTCTGCTCAGACAAGCCTGACAGGCTAAGATCTCTCTGCAGAGGTTTATACAATCCTTTCCATGACTGTCTGAATTCCTCCTTTTCATTATTTCTTGAAGTCCAGAAACGTTTCATTACATTCATCAACCAGTTGTTTAGCTATTCCCCAGTCTGGGGGCACTTGCTTTGTTCAGGACCAATTTTAAAAGGACACGGAAGTGAGGGCACATCATTTAGGAAAGAGTAAGAGTGGCTGAAGCTTGGAAAGAATGCAAAGGGATTAAACAAAACAAAACTGTCAGGGACAAAAAGAATAAATAAAGGATAGCTCCACTCCTCAGAGTAGATGGCATCACAATATGACAGAAAAATACTCCATCCATGTTTAGCTTTCCCTTCTCTCCAAGAAGACTGCTCATCAGACTAAGAAAGACAGAGCTAAAAGAGACTTCAACCTTCTTCTCTTAAACATTTTCTTCCTCTGTTTTTGGGACACCACTCTCTTGAGATTCTCTTCCTCTCTATCTGACTGCTCCTTCTGTGTCTTTTGCTGGATCCTCATCCGGATCATGCCCTCTAACCATAGGTGTCCCTTCTGTCCTTGACCCTCTTCTCTCTCAATGTTACTTCTCTTAGTGATCTCATCAACTCCTATTGATTTAATTACCGTCTCTCTCTACATTAACCTGTCCCGACACCTCTACTGACCTCCAGTCTCACGTATCCAATTGTCTTTCAGACATGGATGTCCAATAAACATATTAAACTAAACATGTGTGAAACAGAACTGATCATCTTTCCCCCAAACCCTCCCCACTCCCCCACCTCCCATCTTCCCCATTACTGTAGGGGACATCACCATCTTCCCATCCCTCAGGCTCCAAGCTAGGAGTCATCCTTGACTGCCCACTATCTCTCACTTTCCCACCATATCCAAGCTGTTGCCAAAGACTGTCAATTTCGCCTCTGTACCATCTCTCCACTATGCCACCTTCTCTCCTCAGACACTATCACCGCCCTGGTGCAGACTCTCATTACCTCACACCTGGAGTACTGCAGTAGCCTGCCTCAAATCTCCACTCCAGCCCATCCTCCACTGAGCCACTGAAATGATTTTCCCAAAGCTCAGGTCCAGCCATGTTACCCTCATACTCAATAATCTTCAGTGTTACCTATTGCCTCTGGGATCAAATATAAAATGCTCTGTCATTCAAAGCCCCTTCTACCATTCCAGTCTTCTTACACCTTACTCCATGACACATACTCTTTGATCCAGTGACAATAGCCGCCTGGCTATTCCATGAACGAGACACTCCGTATCTCAGTGCTGGGCATTTGGCCTGGGGAGCCTCCCTTCTCATCTCCACCTACTGGCTTCCTTTAAGTCCCAATTAAAATCCTGCTTTCTATCTTCCCTAACTCCTGTATCATCTTGGAAAGGAATTCACTGACTCCCTTATGGCTAGGTAGGCATGGATGTCATTACATCTGTCCCCAGATTAATAGCATGATTCATCTATTCTGATATTGCCCTGCCTGTTATCAAAAGCCTGCTTAGAATATGTCCCCTGGTGCACCAGCATGACCCAAGGAAGCATTTCCATTGGTCCTTCCCTACCCCATCAGGGTAAGGATCAATAAGAATGATCCACCAAGGTATGCCAGTATACCTCACTCATGCTTCAGAGTGACTATGGATAGTAAGATTGGGGGGGGGGGAACAAGATGGGGGGATGGGAGGTGGCTGCAGTGGCTTATGCCTGCCCTATTTCAATAGAAGGTACTCTGGAGTCAGATCTGTCTTGCTAGATCTGATTGTTAAATTTTCAGTGTGAGCATTTTATGCCTTGGAAATAGGCAAACGCTACAAATCAGGACTTGGTTTGTTGTTTTGTTGATTATTGAGATTTAAGAAAGTGATGGATACAATGTTAATCATTCAGATAAAACTTTTAAAAGAGTGACTTAGGAAAAAAAGTGCTTTTTTTTACCCTTATTCTTAAAAAGCCATTTGTTAAACATTTACCAGCACCTCACTAAGCTGGGGGTAAGGGCTAGGTGGGACAGTTTCTTCCAGCCTAAGCCTAACAGAAAAGCTTAAGTCAACTAGTATATGTTTAGGTCATAGAGGTTCAATAGAACCAGCAGAGGTTTGTGGTTTCTTGAGTCAATTTGCAGGCCCGTCATATCCTTTAGTTCTCTATGTGTGAATTTAGATGAACTTGAAGGTTCCTAACTGAGCTGGGATGGAAGCTGAGGTCAAAAGATGTTTGCATAGCATCCACATAGAGCATGTTGAACCCATGTGACTCCAAGGTGAATCCAGAGTTTGGTGTTTTACAATCCTCATTCCCCTTCCCGGCTCATCATCTGTATCATGCTCCCTAGCTGTCTTAGGTCCTTCTTGAATCTTCTGTTCCCCAGGTTAAACATCTGAGTTCTTTAAACCATTCTTCATATGATATGAATTCAAGGCCCTTCACTATCTTGGTTTCTTTGTCCTGTGATTTTCTTACTTTTTCTTCTTTTTCCTTTTTTTAGGCAATTGGGATTAAGTGACTTGCCCAGGATCACGGCTAGTAAGTGTTAAGCATTTGGTCTGAAGTCACATTTGAACTCAGATCGTCCTGACTTCGGGGCCAGTACTCTATCCACTGCGCCACCTAGCTGCCCCTGTCCGGTGATTTTCTTAAGGACTCTGTGGCACTCAGAACTGACCTCAGTCCTCCAGAGATATGTGCGCCTCTGGTCAGGACAGAGTGCAGAGTATATAAGTACAATCCTTATTCCCGTAAGCTATGATTCTCTTAAAACAGCCCAAGATTGAATTAGGTTTTTTGGCTGCTGAATGACAATGCTGATATTGAGTTTGCAGTCCACTAAGACCCCCAGATCTCTTCCCCACAAATGATTCTCTAGCCAGTTGGCTTCCTCCAACCCTGTATATATGAAACTGATTTTTTTTGAACCCAAGGGTAAGGCTTTACATTGCTGCCATGCTTGCTTGTCAAAAGTGTTTATTTTGAGAACGTTTCAGTGAATTTAAGTACAGCATTTACTCAGGCACAAATCTCATAAAGAACAGAAAAAATAACTACAAAACATAGTTTTGAAAATTTTTTGTGGTTTTTGAAAGTGTTTTTTTTTAATCTTTAAAAGTTAGTAATTACATATTGTCTTATTTAGGTTAAAGTGGGAATTCTGACTATAATAGAAAAGACAAGGAAGTCATACCGTCATACATTGTACTGAGAAATAAAAGACCTTCCCACATGATAACTAATCCAGTCGAAATAGTTGGACACTTTGGTGTAAACACCAGGGAATTCAGGTTTTCCACAATTGTCGCCCCAGCTCACAATGCCCCAAACATAAGACACATTGTTGGAATTCATACAGACCAAAGGCCCTCCAGAATCTCCTTTACAGGCATCTGTAGAACCATCATCTGTTCCTGAGCAGAAAAAAGAAAAAGAAAAAATGAATGTACCTGTTTTATTCTCATTTGAAAATTATGACCTCATCTCCCACTCTTCACAATCCACTGGGATTTACACCTTCTTACCCTGCCTAGTTGTGATGGAAGGTATTGGCCTTTTGCTTTCATCGTCCATCTGGGACTATAATATTGTAGTCCATATTTCTGAATTTGAAGCATTTTAAGGATTACCAAGAGCTTTCTGTCAACAAGCCCATATAGGATGTAGCATGAGTATTATCATCTCCATTTCACAGATGAAAAGAGCACAAGGCTCAGAAAGATGAAGTGACTTGCCCATGGTCACAAAGTGAATAAATGTTGGTTGTGCATCTAGGAAGCTTTGTAGCTACGGTGCAACTTAGTTTTCTGCCACTAAATCCAGCACTCTCTCCACCAACATGGTGCTTCTCCCTCTGGATAAAGGGATTCTCTGGGTAAGGAGATACTTCCTTCTTTCTCTTTTGCTCCCAGATCTAAGAAGTAGCCAATATCCTCTTCTTCCTCATCCCCATGGCTCACTAGCACCTAGTAGAGTGACTTATGGGTACTAATAACAGGAGGTAGCATTTATATAGTGCTTTGAGGTTTGTAAAGCACTTTGTATGTATTATCTCATTTGATGCTCACAAAAGTCTTTGATACAGGCGCTATTATAATATAATCCCATTTTACAAATGAGGAAACTGAGGCTGACAGAGATTAAGTGGCTTGCCTAGGGTCACACAACTAGTAAAACCCAGTATTTCAACTCAGGTCTTCTTGACTCTGAGCCTGGGACTCTATCCACTATACCACCTACCTGCTTTTCACATATGTTTAATAAATGTTTAAATAAAACAACCAACACTTTTACTAAGCTATAGTCTAAAAACTAAGATGGTAGTACCCCTGGTTTACCATAGAACATTGAGAATTTGTTGTCCATGTGACCATATTTGCAATTTTTTTTGGTTTTTTTCCCTTGATAATTTATTTTTAGTTTTCAACATTCACTTCCATGCAATTTTGAGTTTTAAATTTTCTTCTCCTTCCACTCTTCTGCCCCCGCCCACAAGACAGCATGCAATCTGATACAGGCTCTACTTATACATTCGTATTAAGCATATTTGCCCTTTAGTCGTGATGTAAAGAATAATTAGAACTAATGGGAGGAACCACGAACATGAGGTAATAAAACAACAAAGGAAAAGGAGAGCAAAGAGCCTGCTTCCGTCTGCATTCAGACTCCTAGGTTCTTTCTCTGGATGTGGATGGCAGTTTCCATCGTGAGTCTTCTGGAGTTGTCTTAGATCCTTGCATTGCTGTGAAGAGCCAAGTCTATCAAAGTCAGTCATCACACAGTGTGGCTGTTAACTGTGTACAATGTTTTCCTGGTTCTGCTCTTTTCACTCTGCATCAGTTCATACAAGTCTTTCCAGGTTTTTTTTTTGAAGTCTGCTTGCTCATCATTTCTTATAGCACAATAATATTCCATTACATTCATATACCACAACTTGTTCAGCCATTCCCCAATGGATGGGCATCCCCTCAATTTCCAATTCTTTGCCACCACAAAAAGAGCTGCTAGAAATATTTTTATACATGTCCTTTTCCTGTTTTTATGATTTCTTTGGGATATAGATCTAGAAGTGGTATTACTAGGTCAAAGGGTATGCACAATTTCATAGCCCTTTGGGCATAGTTCCAAATTGCTCTCCAAAATGGTTGGATCATTTCACAACTCCACCAACAATGCATTAGTGTTCCAATTTTCTCACATCTTCTCCAACATTTATCATTTTTCTGTTTTGTCATGTGATGTGGTACCTCAGAATCATTTTGATTACCTATCTCTAATTAGTAGTGATTTGGAACATTTTTTCACATGACTAAAGATAGCTTTAGTTTCTTCCTCTGAAAACTGCCTATTCATATCCTTTGACCATTTATCAGTTGGGAAATGACTTTTATTCTTATAAATTTGACTCAGTTCTCTATATATTTTAGAAATGAGGCCTTTATCAGAGATACTGGTTGTAAAAATTCTTTCCCAGTTTTCTGCTTCCCTCCTAATCTTGGATGCATTGGCTTTGTTCGTGCAAAAACTTTTCAATTTTTAAGGTAATCAAAATTATCCATTTTGTGAATTGTATCTTCAGAGCCTGGTGCACAGTAGGTGCTTAATAAATGTTTATTAGACTAGATTGGATGGTGTACTTACTCAAGGTAAGTAGATACATATGCAGAGAAATATAACCAAGAAGCCATTCAGTGCTTACCTGCACATATCATTTCCTTCTCAAAAAAGCGATCTGAGTAATATTTAGAACAGTTGCCTATCAGCTGGACTTCACCCCATTTGAGCTTAAAAATATTTTTTGCCTCTAAAAAAAAAAGAAATGAGTGTTTTGTGGACAGTTGACAAACGTAAAGAAATACAAACTCTCCCAACTTAACAGAACACAAAAGATTATAAATATGTGGCTATGAAGTATAGGGTCTGGGACTGGGCCTTGGATTTCACTGGGATAGGGAACTCCCTCCACTGAAGCAGGTCGGCACCTTCTCTGAAACTTAATGTCTTACTGAGTTGCCTCAAGCAATAAGAAGTTAAACAGCTTGCTCAGGATCACACACACACCTAACCCGTGTGGGCTGGAAAAAGGCCTTCAACCCAGGTCTTTAGCTGAGGCCAGCTTCCTTTCTGATGTCACATTTATTATTTATTTATTAATTTTTGGTGAGGCAATTTGGGTAAGTGACTTGCCCAGGGTCACATAGCTAGTAAGTGTCAAGTGTCCGGTCTCAGAACGGATTTGAATTCAGGTCCTCCTGACTCCAAGGCTGGTGCTCTATCCACTGCACAGCCTAGCTCCTGTCACATTTATTTTTAAAATAATGATCTTGAAGTCTCATGATATCCTGTTAGCCAATTTTAGCCATACACTCCAACAGGTTTTCTCTATTTTCACTCTAACCTGAGGAATGAAATTTAAGGAAGTACTGTGGGCCCTGGTTTTCATAGCATCAAGTGATCACACCATGGTATTAAGGTGGTGTCCGACTCTTCTTCATGACCCCATTTAGGGTTTTCTTGGCAGAGACACTGGAGTGGTTTGCTATTTCCTTCTCCAGCTCATTTTACAGGTGAGGAAACTGAGGCAAACAGGGTTAAATGACTTGCCCGGGGTCACACAGCTAGGATCTGAGGCCACATCTGAACTTGGAAAGATGACTCTTCCTGACTCCAGACTAGGCATTCTATCCTCTGCACTACCTCGCTGCTCCCTATCATGTGTGCTGCTTTATTATTATCATTAGAATATCAGTTCCTTGAGGATGAGGAATGTGGTACTTTTTGTCTTTGTATCCCTAGCACTAGCACAGTGCTGGGGGAATGCAGTAAAAACTTAATTAATGCCTGCTGGCTTATTACTTCATTCAGTAATTCTTTGTATTTCCTGCAAAGTGTCAGGATAAAAAGGGATTTTTTTTTAGATTGAAGAATTATAATGAGAACCAATGGGAATGTATCAGTACATATATACCATTGTATTTCTGTGACAGAGTATGCAAAGGAGATGCTTACATTTTTAGTCTTTTCTTTCAAGTTTCAGAATTGGAACTGAAGCCCCCTTGGAAGCACCTTTGCTTCATGGAAATACAGCCCAGGTACGGTTCATTGCCAATGTAAGGTTCCTCAAGGGCAAAAACTAATTTCACTTTGTCCTTATTCCCGTTCGTACTATAATGACTGGTCTACAGTAGGTACTTAATAAATGCTTGTTGACTGACTGACTGATTGAAAAAAGCCAACGTGATAACTGAAAAGGCCAAGCTGGTCTGCTCTTTTTAAAGACTATGTAGTACCACAGCAGTAGAAGTAGCTGGGTATACTTAGGATTTCTGTTACAAAAGAAGGTTGAAGGGAATTTAAAGAGACAGAGAAAATTCAACAATTCAATTCAACAAACGTTTGGTTGTACGCTAAGTTATGGTATAAGAAGGCCAAAAAACTTCAAGGAGTTTACAATCTCATGGGGTCCACACTGAACGGTAGGGAAGATTTTCAGGTAAAGTATTCAGGACAAATGAAAAGGATAAGTAAATCTAATGAATCTAATTCTTCAAATTGGGAAATGGTGTGAATCAGAGGTCTTCCTCAGCAGTTCCTTCTGTACACTGTAACAGGGGACTACACGTAATAGTAGAGTTCCCCTGACGCAGTTCCTCACGTGGAAGAGGCTGGGGAGCCTGCTTCCGAGAGATCTGTGATGACATATGATGGAAAGACGCTGTAGCATGTAGAGATATTCTGTCATAGCTTCTGGTCTGCTAACTGCCTTCTGAATAGCCCCTTCTTTGACTGGTTGCGGTTGCCAACCAGACCAGGTAGCGCATTTAAAAGTCATTAGTTGCCTCAGCCCTCTCTGTGTCTGACTCTGTTCCTCTCTTGACTTCCTCTGATTGCTCTGGTGAGAGATGATTCTATGAAGGGGGAGGCTGTAGGCCTTCTCCCCACCAGAGGCCATCTCGCTGCCCTGTGAACAGGATCCCTGGTTTTTTGGCTCAGAATTTATGCTTTTCTTTTGGGTGAAGGGAGATGGAGGCTACAACCTTTTGAGTTTAGAAAAGTCATAAAAGGGAACCATCTGGGAATTTAAGACTTCGGGAGTGAAGATTATGTAGGGCTTTGCAGTTGGCCCGGCATCAATGGAGGACTGAAGAGAGACCTTGGGACCCAACTTATTGGCAGCTGAGATATACTCATCTGGCAGTGATGCCAAATCTGGAGGTGAACTTGATGGGACCAATGCTATGTAGAAGCTGTTATGTCTGAGCCTGCTCTTACCGTGGAGATGGCTGAGGGGAAATGCTTGTACTTTCGTTCTTGTTGGTGATGCAGTGGGTAGGGCTCTGGGCCTAGGTTAGGAAGACCTGAGTTCAAATCTGGCCTCAGACATTTACTAGTTGTGTGCCTTGGGCAAGTTAAGTAACCTCTGTCTGCCTCAGCTTCTTCAATTGTAAAATGGGGATAATAACAGCATTTAATAGCATCCTAATAATATCCCCGAGTGGAGATAATAACATCCCGTGGTTGTTGTGAAAATAAAATGAAATAATATTTGTTTTTTAAAAGTGCTTGGCATAGTGCCTGGCACTATGTAGGTGCTGTAGAAATGCTTATTCCATTCCCCTTTCCCTCCATTTCCTTATTATTTTCAAAATAAACATCTCTTTATAAGAGCTAATCTATATACCCTAGTTAAATGAAAACAGATTTGCTAGTCACTGCTGGCTAACAGTGAGGAGAACTGAATGGGAACAGAGCCTCAAACCCTCAGGGTACTTCTAGAACCCTGAAGAGGAGATGTGGCTAGCACTGCTCTGGGACAGCAAGCCTGAAGAGAGGACCACGGACTCTGGAAATATTTAAAAAGTTTTAAGGAATGCATTTCTTCTTGTCTCCTCTCTGCACTTTTACATCTGTGTGTGTGTGTGTGTGTGTGTGTGTGTGTGTGTGTGTGTCTGAACTTGGATAAAAACGACAGACTCTCTGCTTCACAGAATGCCTCTTTCTTCTGAATGATGCCTTTCTTGACCCACCAACCACTAGGGCCCTTCTTTCCAAACTACCTTGTATACATTTGCATTTATCTACTTTATGATTAGGATGCATTTATTCATATGTAGACTTGTCTCCCTCATCAGAATGTAAGCTTCCAGTACAGAGGGATTTTTTTTTTTGGACTAGGCAATGGGCTTAAGTGACTTGCCAGGGTCACACAGCTAGTTAAGTGTTATGTATCTGAGGGCAGATTTGAACTCAGGTCCTCCTGAATCCAGGGCCGGTGCTCTATCCACTGTGCCACCTAGCTGCCCCACAGGGATTATTTTATTCTTTATATACTTATATCCCCACTGCCTAACATAGTGCTTAGAATATAATAGGTATTTAATAAATATGCAATTGATATATATATATATATTATATATATATGTTTGAGTATTTTAAAAACTTTTCCCCATGTTTGTCCAATACCTCCAACAGTCCATGATAACTTTATATCTCATTGTTAGAATTACCCTATAACATGCCTTTCAGCACTGAAGAGATGTAGACAACTGAAAAGCTGAACAACTTTTAGTATTCTGATAGCATTTTTCCTCCTTGATGAATTAAGTTGTCTACTATATAAAATTTATTTTCTGCATAGATGTCAGCTACTCATATGTTGTTTAATAAATAGCATAAGAAATACCTTCATTTCGTCCTATGCCAGAAACAAAGCACTTATCACCAGAGCTGAAGAGATAGTTGGACCAGGGGACACATGCAGGGACAGTATTTATCAGCTCACACGTGGCCTTGGTTTGGTGTTTTTGCATTTCTATCAAAGCAATGTCGTTTTGATAGGTGGTTCCACTGTAGTTTTCATGGATTATCACTCGTTTTACCCTGTGGACTCCAACTCCATGGTTAAGTTTTATCCAGTCTAGTAATCCTGTCCATATCTGATACCGATGTACTACATTTTTTCTACAAGATAAAATGGAAAATATTTACTAGGATATACAAAACATGTAGTACTGGGTACCCTTACCTTTGCCTTTTTTAAAAAGGATTTTTTTTCCATATTTCCCAAATGTCCTATCTCTTCATTAGCTCTGAGACCATGGCTGTCATTATGTGGAATACAGCTTTAAAAGACTGGCTTTCCCTGGCTTTCTCAAGTTGGGGAGAGAGGGAATAAGAGGTTAGAGGGAGACATGACTGACTTTTATTGACTGGTATAAGAGCACAAATTATGTACTGCATATTGTCTCTTCACAGCCTCATAATGATAATTGTAATAGCCCACACATATACATACATGGTATGTATATATGTGTATATACATGTATACATATGTGGGGGGGGAAGAGAGAGAGAGAAAGAGAGAGAGAGAGAGACAAGCAGACAGAAGAGGGAGAGAGAGAGTGCTTTAAGGCTTACAAAGTGCCAACAATCTTAAAAATGAGAGAAATGAAGCAACATGGAAGTTAAGTTCCTAAAGTCTTCACTCTGACCTTGCCAGGGGTGTAGTCTGTAGACTCCCTACGAGTTTTTAACCTTTTTCTGTGTCATGGCTATCTTTGGCAATTTGGTTAAGCCAACAAACATTTATTAGGTGCCAACTGTGTGCCAGGTGCTGGGGGTACAAAGAAAGGCAGAACACAGTTCCTGCCCTTGAGGAGCTCACAGTCTAACGGGGGACGCAACAAGTAACTGTCTAGGTACATAGAAGCTAAATACAGATTAGATTGAAGATTGTCTCCCATGGAAGGCACTGCTAGTATTGAGGGAAACTGGGAAAGGAATAGAAGGTGGGATTGATCTGAGTCTTCAAAGAAGCCGTGAAAGCCAGGAGGCAGAACCATTATAGGCAAGGGTGTGCTGAAGTCTACTTGAACTAGCTCGGGAGAGCAGATTGTTAAACTTTCATGATGGCCATTTTATGCCTCACAAATAGGCAAATGCTACAAATCAAGGCTTGATTTATTATTTTGTTGGTTGTTCTAGATTTAAGAAAGTGATGGAGAAAATGTTAAAAATTAAATTAAACTTAAAATTAAATTTTAAAAGTGTGTTGCAGGCACTTCTTTTCTGAGATACAGTTGTTAAACACTTATGATTACAAGCAATGAAAAGAGTCTGGAGATGAGGGTCATTTGTGAGTCTGGTGAAACCTATGGGTCCTTCCTCAGAATAATGTTTTTCTTTTTTTTTCTTTCTTTTTTTTTGTTTGTTTGTTTGTTTTGTTTTTCAGTAAGGCAACTGGGGTTAAGTGACTTGTCCAGGGTCACACAGCTAGCGTTAAGTGTTTGGTCTGAGGCCAAATTTGAACTCAGGTCCTCCTGACTCCAGGCCCAGTGCTCTATCCATTGCGCCATCTAGCTGCCCCAGAATAATGTTTTTAAATACATAAAATCCACAGGTTTACAAAAGAAACAGATTATACTGAAATACAATGATCAAAATACATATATTTTTTAAAGTTCATGGGTTCCAGGTTAAGAACCCCTGCTCCAGAGTTTGTCTGGGACACTAGATATAGCTACTAATCATGAGAAGGTGATGAATTCTTGATTTCACAATGACTGTTTTTCCAATTGCACATATACGCCTCTTCCACCATTACCTTTTTAACCTACTTTCATTGCTCCATGAAAAGAATGGTATCAAAGACATTTTTACCTGACACAATGTGCAGCCGTCAGGATCCAGCAGCCACCAATATAAATTCCTCCACAGTGGATTTTACTCCCTTCTTTAATTGTCACCTGCCATGGGAATTCCCCCTATAAAAGACATCGGGAGAGTTATAGCTGTAGTGACATAGGGCAATTAGTGGTGCGAGCCCTCCAATTACCAGGGGCATCTTCTTTATGAGACCCTCAGGTCTATCAGTACGTGCTCTTCCCAGATTTCTTTCCCAATCTAGGCTGTTGCAGAGAATCTGCATGGTAAATTTATTCAAATATGTCCTTAGAGTTTTAAGAAGCTACCCTTAACTCCTCCTTCAACACCCGACATCAGTTGGCAATTCCCCTGGTAAAGTAATAATAACTGTATATGTAATATATGTGAAATGATGTGCAAATATAATAATAACTACATATATAATTCTCCTCTACAATCTCTCAAATTGCTCTGGTTCTTTCAATTTATACAGCATCTACAGTCCCTTATTATTTCTCAGCTGGGCTATTTTAAAGTCCCCTAAACGTCCTCCCTGTCTCCAGTCTTTCTCTTCTCTAATATGTATCCCATAGAGCTGCTAAAGTGATGTTCCTAAAATACAGATGTAACCATGTCATCCTCTGACTAAACCGTTCAATGGTCATCTTACTGCCTGTGGGATAAAATGTAAAATCCTCCATTTGGCACATACAGCCCTCACGCAATTCTGGCTCATACCTACCTTTCCCATCTTATTTTCTATTACTTCTCATCATGCACATTCTTTGTTTCACTTAACCTGCCTGGTAACTTGTACATGACATTTCATCTCCTGACTCCATGACTTTGTGCCAGTGGTCCTGAGTCTTCAGGGCTCTCTCTGCTCACCTCGGCCTCTTAGGATCCCTTCCTTCCATGAAATCCAGATGAGACTTTCTCTAATTCTCCAGCTGTTAACACTCTCCCCCTTCTTGAAATTACTTTTTTAAAAAAAAAAAACTTAATAGTAATGATAATTGTAGGCATTTATTTTTTTTAAATTTTTTTAGGTAAATGGGGTTAAGTGACTTGCCTAGGGTCACACAGCTAGTGTTAAGTGTTTGGTCTGAGGCCAAACTGAACTCAGGTCCTCCTGACTTCAGGGCCGGTACTCTATCCACTGTGCTACCTAGCTGCCCCCTTTTTTGTTTTTGAATAGCTCCCCCGCACTAGGCTTAGGGCTTTCTTCGCTGTTAAGGGCTTAATGTTTGTTGAATTGAATGGAATTACCTCAGTTGCAATCTGTCCTCCTACGATTCGTTTCCTTCGAATGTGAGTGTGGCTGTTGTTTCGAACACCACAGCTTATTTTGGGTAAAAGAGACTTGAATAATTTTCTGTCTTTCAGAGAAAAAAAGATCACAGCATTATTAAAATTGAATCTAGAAATGACTACGTAGTGATCACTTGCTTATCCCCACCATGGGAAGGGATCAAAATCATAGGTAATGCAATGCCATTATATTCACAAATTACACTTGGATTTTCAGGATATTATATAATATCACAGAGGTTACTTTCTCGATTTCGTTTTCCTTGGTCGAGACTTCACATTTAATTTTCTAAGTACACACTAACTCAGGTCTGCACAACTTGCAGCCAATAGGCCTCATGCAGCATGCCAGTGACTGGTAGCAGATAAAAAATGTAGAGAACATCTTTTCTAGGTACAGGAAATCCTTTGGCATGCTGCGAGCAGTCAGGAAGCAGCCTGCAGGCCACAGTTTGTGTAAGTCTGCACTAACTGATAGGAGGGGAGGATGGCCCTGAAAAGTACTGATTACAGAAAAAATCTAGACTGGGATTAAACGCACATAATCCTCTTGTAGATTCCTATAGAGAGTTGACTATATGTACATTGTACAATACTACTAGTATGTTCATGTTTTAAATCATTAAAGGTGTTACTTTATTAGCCTAAGGATAATAGGCAGCTCTATGGCTAAATGCCTCTTGTTTTAAGATAAACTGTTCCACATAGCTGAATTTGATGCCAATGTCTTTTTCAGAAGCAGTTCAGTTTTGAATTGTAAAGATGGCAAAGTGAAAGAGGCATTCTTTTGTAAAGATATGAGCCTAGTTCGAGTATTCAGATGGAAACAAACATTGTTCTGTAACAGTAAGCCAATAATGATGATAATCGATAACATTTACATAGTGTCTCCTATGTGCCTGGCACTATGTGAAGTGATTACAATTACTATTTCATTTGATCTCCACAACAACCCTGGGAGGTAGGTGCTATTATTATCCTCATTTTACAGATAAGAAAACTAAGACAAATAGACGTTAAATGCCTTGTCCAAGCTAACACAGCTAGTAAGCGTCTGAGGCTGAAGCTGAATTCAGATCTTCCTAATTCCATGCCTTTCACTCTACCCACCATACCACCTAACTGCTGGAATTCAGAAAGGTACATTTAATTTATAATTTATTCAGCAATTATGGAAAATAGAATCTTACAGCTGGCTGGGACCTTATGTATCATTTAATGTGATTTCTTTGTTTTACAAATGAAGAAACTGAGGCTCTCTTAAGGAAAAGGACTTGACCAAGAGCATACCACTTCTAACAAAAGTACTGAAATTAGAAGTCAGGTTTCCTGACTACCAGACCAAGTGTTTTCGTCTATTACATTATGTTGTTGCCACATAAAAAGGAACTCTAGCTGTTTCAGCATCAGGACTCTTGTTAGAAATATACCAGTTTTCCCCAATTTTGAGACATAATGGCATATACATGTATTACAGAAAAAAGCAGACTTCCAAAGAGAATGAACATCTTCACCTTTCCAAATACATTTGGGTTATAGCTTACTATGTTTGCACAAAAATTTATATGTGATTTGGCAAAACTTAGAACAAAGAGAAACTTTGACTAAAAACTACTGTTTTTATTTCTCAATCAGCCTACATAAAAGGGGATAGGGATTGGGCTTGTGATAGCATTAGTATAAAGAACTCCCCAGGTAAGGAAATACCCTCTCCCAGGTCAGCACTTTCTCTACAACAAATAGTCTTAGAGAGTCGCTTAGAGGTTGTGATTGAGCAGGGCCGCCTGGCAGGACACGAACCCAGGTCTTCATGGCTTCAACCCTGGCGCTCTCTGCTACCCTACACCGCCTCTGCATAAAAGCTCCCTTACCAATAAGCAGCACTTGTTTGGATCGAACTACCAGCAGTCATTATCACTTTTGGCTGTTTTTAGTTTTCTTTTTTTTTTTCTGGAAGCTTAGGAAATAGCAGTTAAGTACACAGATATTTTTGTCTTTCTTTAAATGGATCAAGGGGGCAGCTAGGTGGTCTGTTGGATAGAGTGCCAGGTCTGGAGTCAGGAAGACCAAAGTTCGGATCTGGCCTCAGATACTTACTAGCTGTGTGACCCTGAGCAAGTCACTTCACCCTTTTTGCCTCAGTTTCCTCACCTATAAAATGAGCTCGAGAAGGAAACTGCAAACTACTCCAGTGTCTTTGCCAACAAAATTCTAAATGGGGTCACGAGGAGTTGGATAAGACTAAAACAACTAAATAAAAACAACAAATCAAACATCACAGTCTTGGAAAAATCAAAATTTTAAGTGACCCAAACCAAATGGGGAGGTGCAGGGGGTGTCTATAGATGCTGCAGCCTCTAATGAATGAAATGACTAATAGGAAAAGGAGACAGGTAGGTCCTGAATCAAAAAATGGGGGGTAGCTCACGGACAGCGAAAATACAACACTGATATGCACGGAATGTTAAAAGAAAGCCTCCAGGGTAGATCACAGAATCAGAAGTTTAGAGGTCGAAGGGATCTTGGAGATCACCTAGTCCAAAGTCCTCATTTTATAGATTAGGAAACTGAGGCCTAGAGAAGAGGACTGACTTGATCAAGGTTACTGGATTGATAACTAGGTGGCACAGTGAGTAAAGTTGGACATGGAGTTAGGAAGACACGAGAGATGTCAGTTCAAATCCTGCCTCAGACACATGGGAGCTGTGTGACCCCTGGGTAAGTCACTTAACCTCTGCTTCCATTTCCTCATCTGTAAAATTGGGATGATAATACCATTACCTCCCCCGGTTGCAGTGAGGATCAAATCAAACCTTAAAGCAGCACACATGTGGCTTTCTAGGTCCTCAGGTGTGGCCTTTTGACTGAGTCCGTTTTACACAACAAATCCTTTTATTAAGGGGATTTGTTCTGTGAGTTTTGGATTCAGTCAAAGGGCCACATCTGAGGACCTAGAAGGCCACATGTGGCCTCAAGGTTGCATGTTCCCCACCCCCACCTTAAAGCATTATGTAAATGTAATAAAGCATTATTATTGTTGTTGTTATCTAGAGTAGAGGGAGACCTAGAATCCAGGTCCTCCCTCCACTGTTCTGTGTCACTTCACCTAATTTTATATTTGAGAAAATGGAACCTCTCTAGCACATGTATGGGAGGACAAAGGAAAGATCTGCGTACAATGAGGAGGTGGGCATAGGTTGTATTCTGCCTCAGTGGAGGGAGAACTCATACCAATGCAATGACCAACACATCAAAGTTTCAAAGCAATATAAATCAATACAGTTATTCATTGTTATCAATAAGTGCATGCCCATGACAGATACATTAATATACACAGTTTGACCAATAAGCAACAAGCAGAAAGTTTTAAATAACTTACCTTCATCCATATTAGCAGTCAATATTTCAGCTTGTTCTACCACAAAAAAGAAAGATTCAAACTGATTTACACATTTTAGTCATATTTACGATGAAAATGAGATCATTTAAAGTTGAATACCCTATACATTTTGTAGCTTCGTGATGAATTTCCTACAAACTTGTATTCCCTTAGAAACAAAACTGAAAAAGTCTTTCACTATCTACAGAAGGCAAAATCTGTGCAGTTTAAGATGATTACCTAGACATTATGACTTTGGATAAGAGGATCATGACTTTAGAGGTCACCTAATTCAACCCACTCATTTCACAGATGAGGAAACTGAGACCCAGAGAGATTAAATGATTTGTCCAAAGCACCAAGTCTCGTGCCCTGGTTTTCATATTAGAGTAGATGGATGGAACAGGTAATAGAAGGAACTCGGAGTTCTTTGTTGGGAGATAATGCCCTTTTCTAAGCTACCATCCCAAGCTGATTTGTCCTCGGATGTGGCCCTTTGAGTGAATCCAAAACTCACAGAACAAATTTGAAAGATGCCACCATACCTAAATATTTGATATGTGAATCATATAAACACATCATCTCATCTCACCAAGGGATTTTTTTTTTTTGCTTTTTTTTTGGACCAGAAGCCTGATTTTTATCAGAGCATTGATTGAGGAATTTCCTCACTAGGAATTAATTCCCTACTTTAATGTTTCAGAGTTGTTCCTCCTGGTAATTTCCTCAATCAGTGCTGACTGGGCACAGTCCCTGTGAATAGGAAGCTTATGTTTGTCAGACGAGACAATCTCTCTAATCAAGAGGTCTCAGAGGAGACCTGGTTAAAATCCCATGTTAGACACTTCCTAGCTGTGGGAACCTGGGCAAATCTTAATTTCTCTGTGCCTCATCTTTTTTTAAATTTGCTTTATAAATAATATCTCATTTTGTCCTCACAACAACCTTGGGAAGTAGGTGCTAATATTATTCCAATTTTATATTTATTTATATTATTCCAATTTATTATTCCAAATTATTATATTTATATTATTCCATTTTTATAGATGAGGAAACTGAGACAGAGGACAGTTCAGTGATTTGCCCCAGGGGCACAGCGCTAGTAAATATCTGAAGCTGGATTTAAATTCAAGTCTTTTGGACTCAAAGTCAGAAATATTTACCTTGAACTTCAGAGTGTCCCAAACCTAGAAATAAAGCACAAACATTTCAACCTAGCAAAGACAAATCTAAAATAAAAAATTGAACTGTTTAAAAAAAAAGACCCCATACCAGTATTATATGTGTGTGAGATACATATTTATATATTCCAGTATCTTATGTATTAGCAATATAACAAAATCTGTTGTACCCCACATTTATAGCCAACTTTTAACCTGTATTACAAAAATGAAGGCTGTGTAATAGATAAGGGAAATCCCAGAGAGAATCTATAACTTATTTTAATCATAGTTTCTATCCTCTTTCCCCATCCCTTCTTTACAGGAGATGCTAAGGAGCAGCTCTTATTATCATTATTATTAAAAGTATGAGCTTCTGAGCATCCTCTGCTTTCCCTTGCAGTGTTAAAAATGAGAGCTCTGCCTATAGGTAGGGGACACAGGTGGCACACAAGAAGGGCAAATCTCCCTCTGGATTTGTGGGAGTGACAACCAACTGCAGATGTCTTTATGTATTTGACACGATGATAACGTAAGTCCTTATTTTATAGCTACTAACATTTGGCTAATTATTTCTGATAAACTAACAAAGCACATACTTACCACTTTGACTTGAGATTATTTAAATGCTAATAAAACACAAAATATCTTTGCTGGGCTTGAGTGGACAAGCCCGACTATTATAGTTTTAACTGCCAGAAATGCTGGCTTTACTGACAGGGAAAAAATGAAAAATAAAATTCTTTTTGTCCCCAACTCCAGGAATCCCTCAGTCATATGGCCTGAGGACAGAAATGGCCTTAGTGCTGGCTTGAAGGGACATGGAAGGATATTTGAATTCCACCCACCACCATGATCCAAGTTAAACTCTGCCAATTTTGAGAAATGAAATTTTGCTAAGCACGCTGTCATAATGGAGGTGTCAACTTCTAATTAGTACCAAAACAACAGTAACAATCATCCAGACATACCTATCTGAGGCACATGAAGACAAAGTCTGCAAAAGTAATTTTACCCCGATTCTCCCTTCAGTCCATGTGCAAAGGAGCAAAGAGAAGGCTGATGTTGGCATTTCAATGTTTACTTGTATGCCCCCTGGACATTGGAACTACACTTTTCTGAGATTAAATTAACAAATTAACAAGCATTTATTAAGTGTTTACTATGTGCCAGGCACTGTTAAGCACTTGGGATATAAAGACAAAAAACAGTTCTTGCTCTCAAGAAATTCACAATGTAATGGGGTAAATAAGGGAGTACTGTAGTGCAGCTGAATAAGAGTTTTGAAAATCCCTACATTAGACAGATCAAGCAGAGTATCTCATTGGTCTAAATACAGGTTACACCTCTCCTCTTCCCACTCTGGTTTGGCTATGGAACCCAGGTTTCAAACCTAGAGCATGTGCATATATTGTTCATTACTGGTGGAGAGAATGATTACTCAAAGCTGATTGTTCTTAAGAGGGCAGGGTGGTCAACAGAGCTTAGGGGAGGAGTCATTCTTCATTTCTTCCTTGAGGAATGATACAAAAAGTTCCAGACCCTCTTCAGGGGCAGACCCATGGAGGGAGGGAGAGAGAGAGAGAGAGACAGAGAGACAGAGAGAGAGAGAGAGAGAGAGAGAGAGAGAGAGAGAGAGAGAGAGAGAGAGAGAGAGACAGAGAAGAGAGAGAGAGAGAGAGAGAAAAGGAGAGAGAGAGAAGGAGGGAGAGGCAGGGAGAGAGAGAGAGAAGAGAGAGAGGGAGAGGGAGGGGGAGGAGGAGAGAGAGTGAGCGCAAACTCTGGAAATCAGGGACGTGATGGGGAGCCAGCTGTCTCCTACATCTCTGCCTTCGAAAGTTTGCTCTCTCTCCTTGAAGAGAGTCTGTGACTGCTCTCTCAAAGCAGGGAAAAAGAAATTATGTCCTCTCCCAAGCTCCCTGCCAACTCTGCCCCTCACAAAGGCAGGAAGCTTTGAGTCCACCAGTGAGGAGAATTAACGTTTGGTTCCAGGTCTGAAATTTGGGCTGCATGATAAAACACAAGTGTGGTTTACAATCCCATTCGGTCTCTCTTTCTCCTGCTATGCTGAACTACTGGGATGAGTGATATAGAAGAGAGAGCTCCTCTCACTACAAATTTTGTTTCCATATTTGCTGGCAGCTTGACCTCTGGCTCCTTCCTCATTTGTAGATTATTCAGGGATGCTACATTGTCAGTGTGCCAACTGGTTAAACTTCCAAAGTTTGAAACTAAGACCAACTTTTCGTATTTGTTAGCCCTTCAAAGTTACTCCACAGGTTTCTCTCCAGTGGGCCAGCTTTTCTTTTTTTCTGTAATGGAGTGGCTATGAATAGCTGTTCTTTTCCACTGTACATAAATGTATGTTCTTTTCAGAGATAGTTCATTTTAGAGATGAGACCTATATTCAGACCAATACTGGTAAATGATGATAAAGTTTCAAATTACCTTCACAATTTGCTTCATCATCTCCTCTAAGGCAGTCCAGTTCACCATTACACTCATATGTTTTTGGAATACAAACACCTGATTTACAAAAGAAACCTCCACTTCTGCACCCTGTTAAAAATATATATATACATATATATAAAATACATTATACGTGTGTTATATATTCTGTATATGGAGAGATTTGTCATTTCTTAAAATTGAAGAAAATGAAATCTTAGACTGCATTTATATTTTTTTTTTATCAGGGAGGCAAGTAACCTAAATATGAATACTGACTTTGCCACTAATAAGCTGTGTTATACATAGAAAGTTATTTAGTCTCTCTGGATATCAGGTTCTTATTCTGAAAAGTGTAAGGGTTAGACTCTAGCTGCTAAGGGTCCTTTCCTGCTCTAAGATTCCATGAATTTAAAAAAAAAGAAAATTCCATTTATCTAACATTTTGTTCTTACAAAAAACCTTTGTTCACATCATCTCAAATAGCTCCACCTCTAGGTAGGTTTGGGTTTAGCCATACCTGAAGGACAGCCCTGTGATTATATATTTCTGTGTGTGTATGTATATATATGTGTGTGTGCACACACACACATATACACACACACACACACACACACATGCATACACCACACACACACAGAGGTGACTCTAGACTGAAGAGGAGACTTCTGAGAGAAAGAAGAGAAGAAGAAAGACAATATAAAAAGAGAAGGTCAGACTCAGAAAGCTCTGGGCACATGGGAAGGAGCTGGTACCTCAATATGGCCCTTGATTCTCAGCATTTAATCTTCCAGAGACTGCTAAGGGTGAGCATGAGATAGTTTGAGATCATTCTCACCCAGGCTGAATTGAGATTTCATCTCAATCCTGGGTCACAGAAGCTTTTAATTTACTGTGTTCTAATGCCTAAACCAGGGGTGGGGAACCTGTGGCCTTCTAGGTCCTTGGATGCTGCCTTTTGACTGAGTCCAAGTTTTACAGAACAAATCCCCAAACTAATCCGTATGACTTCCCGGATTTATCTCTTTCTTTGCAAATAAATTTGCTTACTAGCCATGACTGTATTTTGTATAATAGAGCACTTGGAGGGAGGAAAGCTAAACTGACTGGGATTATCTAAACTGTTGGCCTCCAACTGTGGGGTGGAGCTATTTCCCCTTCAATGACTAGGGAAAGTGGCTTTTATACTAACTCTCCCCCCTAAAAAAATAATTTCATACACAGGCTACAGATTTTGATGTGTAAAAGATGTACTGCAAGACCAAGCCCAACGGCCCTCTTGAAATTGGAGGATGGTGTGAACACCCAGCCACAGTGATGCAGGATGATGGGGGACATTTCAGATCTATCTAAAAATCCCTATTATACATGGACAACCTAATGTATGTCACACAGGCTGTCGTACTCTTATATCACTTCTATCTAGTTGGGTGTGTTTTTCAAGTTAGATATATTTGTACCTTTACAACACAGCTCATCACTTTGGTCTCCACAATCATTGGTGCCATCACAAGTTTTCTCCACTGGAATGTGCTTCCCATTGACACACTGAAATGAATTGTCATTGAAGTCTGCCAAACAAAGATTAAGAAAATTTCCTTTAAAATTTATTCACCTAAATGTGCTCGGATTTTCCCTTTACATTTGGGAATAAAAATAGGATATACATCAAGTGACAAAGTGAAAGGTGTTGGGATTTCAATATAGTATAAAATCATAGGATTACAGATTATAAATAGAGAGCTGGAAGAGACCTCAAAGCTCACCTAGTCCAATCCATTCATTTTACAGATGAGGAAACTGAGGCCTAGAGTGATGAAGTGGCTTAATTTTAGTAAGAATCAGAGCTAGGAATTGAATCTAGGATATCTGAATTCAAATACAGCCCTTGTTATCCTATACCACACTGTCTCCAACTAATATAATAAATGTCTTCTGTGGGTCCCATTGAAACCCCGCCTGGTAGATCGCTAAAGGAGGCTTCCACTTTCTGAGGCAGGGCTTCTAGAACCAGGCACTGCTAGGCCTACTGCTAGATGATGGCACATATTAATTCTTATTCAATCCTTTATTAAAGGTCTCTGTTTTCCCTTTCATGTGAGAACACAGATCCTCTCTCTGAGGACACAATTACTTCTGCCAGATCATCCACTTACCTCAAAAATGCTGAAGCCGCTCTAAAGCCTTGATTCTGCCTCTAAACTGAGTCTCACTCAGGAGCACCCAGGGACTGAGCCTCAGCACAGTGAGAAGACATGGCCAACAGACAGTTTGCTATAATCAGGGAACCACAGAGATGAGCCAAGAGATCCACCACCTTAGTCTGCAGTAGCAGAGTTACTGAGCTACTGTTTTCTTGTCCATAAGATACTTTAAATCTCTTGGATACAGGATGAAAGGAAGGAGTTGGCTCCTGCGTAGTATTCTCTGAGGACAGCACAATGCCTGGCACATGGTAGGTGAACAGTAATTGCTGGCTGACTGGCTGATTGATTCATGTAAGCTCTTTGGGGGCAGCAACTGCTTGTCTTTGTATACACTGGAGCAGGCCAGTCCTAGGCCCACAGTAGTAAGTGTGTAAATTCTACTCAACTGATTGATTAACCTCTGAAATTCACAACATCATCAACTTCTTTATCTGTGATTGTTGAAGGGGCACCCAGAGCTTTCAACTGAGCTTGGGCTGTATATTTAGTAACGGATTAATTTAAGATAAATAATAACTAACATTTATATAGCACTCGCTATGTGCCAGGCACTGTGCTGAATAACCTTTACAATGATCTCATTTAACACTCAAAATAACACTAAGAGGTAGGTGTCCCATTTTATCTCCATTTTACAGATGAGGTAACTGAGATGAACAGAGGTTACGTGATTTGCCCAGGGCCACACCCCTAGGGAGTGTCCAAGGCTCCAGGCAAAGAGCTCTGTCCACTGAACCACCTAGCTGCCCCTAAATCAAGGGCTAGGGGTAAAGTATGATAAGGAGAATATTAAGCAAATATTCTACCAACCTGCTTCCTGTGTATGACACACCACACCAGCCAAATCCTTGCTATTAGCCTTCCTTTTGGTTAAAACACATTCTGCCAAAGTGGTCTCCAATCCTCTACAATTTGCTTGCAAACAGTCAGTGATCTCGACATCAACATCATCAGGGACATTGAATGTTTTCCTATAATCGACAGCCCCTCTGAAGGGATTCCAACAAGTAAATTAGTAAATATAATAAGTAAAAAAAGCAAAAGTAAAATGGGCAAGGCTAGCTTCTTAACTTTGTATTATTTAATTGGATTAATCCAATTAATTAAACCATCTTTTAAAAAACTGTCTTGATGATTAAATGACACTGATTTTCATTACACAAGATTAAGAACAAGAATGACTTTTGTCAGTTTCCAGAAAAAGCTACACAGGATAGGGGAAAGAGCTATAGTTTGAAATACTGGCATTCGGGTTCTACATTTTGGGTGAATCACTTAATTTCTCCACGACTTAATTTGCTCATTTGTAAAATAAAGATATGAATACTTGCTTTGCCTACTTCACAAAGGTGTTAAGAGGATCAAATGAAAACTTACATATATGTGCACATATATACATATATATTAAAGCACTTTGAAAATTTTATTACCTATTCTATGGTGATTTAGGTTGAGTTAAAATTTCAGAGTGAATTTTCTTTTTTTTTTTTGAGGCAATTGGGGTTAAGTGACTTGCCCAGGGTCACACAGCTGGTGTCAAGTGTCTGGTCTGAGGCTGGATTTGAACTCAGGTCTTCCTGATTCCTGAGCTGGTGCTCTATCCACTGTGCCACCTAGCCTCCCCGAGTGAACTACTTTTTAAAAAATAAATTCAGCTTTCTTTAATTTTCACTTCTGAATTCTCTTCTTCCATCTCCATCCATTGAGAAAGCAAAAAAACCAAACCCCCAAAACAAAACAAAACAAACCTGTAACAAATACGTATAGTGAAACAAAACAAATTTCTGAATTAGCCACGTCCAAAAAAAAAAAAGTACTTCAATCTGCACTCTGAGTCTATTGAATCTCTGTAACTATGGTAGTTTATTGTGTTAGTCAGAGTTAGGAGTGAAGGATTTTTGTTTATCAGGGCTTCTTAAACTGGGATCCACAGAAAGAATTCAGAAGACCCATGAACTTGGATGGGAAAAAAATTACATTTTTACTTTCACTAACCTCTAATTGAAATTCAGCATTTCCTCCAACATAAGCAATAAACACTGCTCTAAGGAAGGTTCTGTTGGCTTTATCAAACTGCTAAAGGGGTCCATAACTCACTAAAAGGTTAAGAAACTCTGCTCCATTAAGTGGGTTTCTTTTTCCCTCACAGAATTAATAGGAAGACTTTACTATCTGCAGCTGGCCTTTAAGTGACAAAATGGGTATATCTCTGTTCTAAAACATCAACCACATATTACCAATTAACACTTCATTTAAACCACTATAGCTTCACTTCTTTGGAATTCTGAGGGATTTTTAGTTTTCCATCATAGTATTTTTAAGTTTAAATACCCCTGAGAGGAATTCTATTTTAAGGGCTTAATGGCTAATATCTCAATTATCAAGTAACCAAAGTGCAAGGACATGGAACTATCTGTCTATCAGTGGCAAGGAGATTTAAGATCTAATGGGATTTCTGCTTGTGGCTTCTATTCCTTTTTATTTTTTCTGTCTGCTTTGGGGTGTGGTAGAGATGTGCTAACTTTCGAATAAAGGCAGCTATGATTCTGATCAAAGGCAGAAAGCCCACCTTTAAGAAATGTAACCTCCATGAGGAACCCTCAGACTCAGCATGGAAAAAAGGCATTATAAATGGGCAGTTTGCTATAGCAGTTAAACCATGAAGTTTAGTCAAGATATAGCCAAGATACTTTCGACAAAGTAAATCAGGAGATCTGGCATCTGACTTAAGTATGGAAGTAAGGACTATTCTGAAGCACCCATTATTGAAGAAAAAGTGAAAAGGCTAGAGCAACCTTCCCTTTATTCTCCACTTTATCATGCAGAATGAAGTATTTCTTGAAAAAAACACCTTCTGCATTAACCCCTCAGCTGAAACTTGCAGGTTGGTTGCCTGGAGGTTGACTACTCTTAGGTTCATGGCACTCTATAGGTTTGCACTCTTAAAATTACAGTTCACAGGCCTCCACAGGTGTGTTTACCTTTCACTGTGAGTCAAAAGTCGCAAACAGCTCAAGGCAAAGGCATTTACTGAAATGGCCTTGTAAGATCAGTAGCTACAGAACATGCCCTCTAAGCTTGGGGTACACTCTCCCACAGCTACCCATAAGGGAGAACACAAATAGAGTAAACTAGTAGACAGGTGCACATATAGGGAACTTGGGGCCAAGGCGAATCAAAGCTCTGGCCCTATAAAACCCTAATGTTCTTTCTTATCATGTGGTGCTCTCACGATGCTTTACCTGGCTGCAACGTCTCTGACGGGTATGATGCTCTGCCTGGCAGAGCTCAGCTCAATTCTTCAATTGGACTCTCTTCTTGACTGCCAGAGCCTTCTTCAGAGCCATCTCTGGCCTTACCTGCCAAGGCCTTGTTCCTTGCTGAGTATAGTGCCTCTAGGCAAGCATCTCTGTTACAAGCTGCCATTGCTAACTGGAGGAGGAAGGAGAAGACAGAAAGTCTGCTCGTGGTCTGGGTTCTTATTCTGCAGCTGAGACTCTTTTCTCAGCTTCCAGAGCCCACATTCCTCAGAACTGTCACCAGTTTCATTTAGACAGTGTGTCTTGCTTTTTAAGGACTACCAGAGGTGTGGCTGAGGCTTTTGCCAAACCATGGCTAGAAGCCCAAGAAGGCTATCAAGTTTGACTGGAGAACTTTTTCATACTTCCTAAAGGAGCAACAAAGTGTACATACTTCTTTCTACTCAGTTAAGACCTTAACTGTTATTGTTTCTTTTTCCTCCCCCTTGCATTCTATAATTTCATCAGCTGGGGTGGGAGGAGAATCAATTGATCAGGGGTCTCCTAATCATCCCCCTCCCCCTACAAATGGACCATCCAAATGAAAGAGAAAACAAAGCAGAAGAGGGATGTGAAGGGGAATCCTAACCTGGGTAAAAAGGTTGGAAAATAGAAGAATGTGATTCAAATGAGTAAAAGAAAAAAAACATTTAGACTTAAAGCATTTAGACAATCAGATAACAATTTCTATGCGAGGAGGCAGTTAGGTGGTAGGTGCATAGAGGGCCTGGAGTCAAGAAAACTTGAGTTCACACCTGGCCTCAGACACTTAGCTGTGTGATCCTGGGCAAGTCACTTAACCTCTACCTTCCTCAGTTTTTTCATCTGTGAAATGGGGATAATAGTACCTACCTCCTGATTGTTGTGAGGATAAAATAGAATAATATTTGTAAAGAGCTTTGAAAATCTTAAAGTACAAATAAACATTAGCTACTATTATCATTTTATTAAATAGGATAAATTAGAGACAGGGAAGGAAATCTGACCACAAAGATAACACTGAGACATGGTGAGATAGGACTTATATGACTACAACAAGAGCTTGGAGAATATGCCTCATTTAGAAGGAACATAACAGACACAAGGCATGGTGGAGTAGCACTGCATATTATGAACACACACACACACACTCTCTCCCTCTCTCTCTCTCTCTCTCTCTCTCTCTCTCTCTCTCTCTCTCTCTCGTGAGGAAATCCAGGAACCAAAGGGAGTAACATGATGGAAAGCATTTTGGCAGATATCAGCTGAGGTAGAGACAAAAGTAATATCACTATCAGAATGTACTACAGATTCCCTGGACAGGAGGAAAAATTAGACATGGAGTCAGGGAAACAGCATCAATATGGAAGAGGAGAACATTAATCGTAATGGTGGGTGACTTCAACCATCTGGGAATCTGTTGGCATTCTCTCTACGCTGCAAGCAGAGATGTTCATAAAATTATTTGCTGCCTTAAAGACAACTCTGAAAAGACCCGGGAAGTAGCAAGGAAGAACTGTTATTCTGGATCTGATCATGAGGAACAAGGAAGACCTGGCTACTAAAGCAGCAGTGATGGGAACTTTGGGGACAGGTGAGCATTCCATCACAGACAGAGTTCATGGCAGGGGAAAGGAAAGTTACAAGTAGTCTAATATACACTCTAGATTTGGAGAAAGTACATATTAAAATGTTTAGAAAATATTGGGATTAGATGGCCTGATTACAAGCAGGGGATGTTTGTCCAAAAGGGATGGGAAGTTTTTGAGATTAAAATTTTGAATATTCAAACAAAAATGATTTTCATGAGGAAAATGAGAAATTGCCTAACAAAATCAGTTTGTCTGTACAAGGAACTCCTAGTCCAACTCAGATTTTTAAAGACATTTATAGACTGTAGAAGACAACCGAAAAAGAATACAGATGAGTAACCACTGTCCTGTAAGAATAGTTTCAGATCATTAAAGCTCAAAATTAATCGAGGCTGGCAATGCTAAGGACAAGAAAAAGGGGTTACTTAGTTATATTGAGGCTAAAGAAAATCAAGGAAGATGTAAGACCATTGCTCAGGGCAGATGGATGGCCACAAATGGTAAGGAGAGATGGAAATACTCCTATTTTGCTTCTTTTTTTTCTTCTAGGGCCAATATAATGATCTGGCCCTGGGAAGAATAGAAAGAAATGATTACTAGGAAGTTGAAACCAAAGATAAATAATTATACAGTGAAAGAGCATCTAACTGATCTCAGTGAATTGAAGTCACAGGAACATAGCTTTAGAGCTGAAAGGGGCCGCAAAGGTCAACTAGTCCCACCCCTTATTTTACAAATGAGGAAACTGAGGCCCGAAGGTCACACAGGTAGTAAGCAGACTCATACTATCCTCCCACTGAATCTTAGACATGTCTCATATCCCAGTAATAAACTACAAAGTCTATAAGCACAAACATGGTATCTTCTCTAACCTTCACTCTTCCCCAGGACCCCACTCAATGGCACACTGACACCGAGAAAAGATACACAGCAAATGTTTGATGGGTTGGTTGAATTGAATGGCAGGGCAGAAGCTTCACCTGTGGCCAGAGTTGAAAAGAAATGAGACAGATCTGGCAAGGGAGGGCAAAAGAAAGAAAGACAAGGAAAAGAAAGGGAAGTACAAGTGGAAACAATGGCCTGGCTATCCTGGGCCTCTGGTGCTTCAGCATTTGTCTGGTAATTTTATATGCAAGTTTGATTTGTCCAGTTCCATGGTTTCATCGATTTGAAGTAGAAGGAGTTTCAGAGCCATCTAATGTGATTTTCTCATTTTATAGATGAAGAAATTGAGAGGCCTGGAGACTTTAAATGACATGTCTAATTGTTGGTCAATTGTTTCAATTACATCCAACTCTTCATGATGCCATTTGGGGTTTTCTTGGCAAAGACACTGGAGTGATTTGCCATCTCCTCCTCCAGCTCGTTTTACAGATGAGGAAACTGAGGCAAATAGGGTTAAGTGACTATAAAGGTCTGAGGCCGGATTTGAATTCATGAAGATGAGTCTTCCTGATTATAAGCCCAGGGCTCTATCCACTGAACCACCTAGCTGCCCAACTTGTCTAATACACAAAGTGGCAGAGACAAGATTTAAACCTGGGTCCTCTGATTCTACCTCTAGCATATTTTCTTAGCAGAGAAATGCATGCAGGGCAGCATTCTATACCTTATATCATCCCCCTGAAATTATAATGAATGAAAAAGTGTTTATTAAGTGATTACTACATAGAATGCTCTATACATAGAAAAGTAAGATATCTTTTGCTCTCAAGAAGCTCACATTCCAAGAGGACGGTTCAGCTCTGTGTCAGATGGCAATGCATCTCCTCCAATGGATAAAACCTTATTAATTTCTGATGTTTGTGGAGGGAGTTTGGGACATGCTTAAACCACATCAATAGCAATGAAAAATGCTGAAGGAGCTGCTTTTGGAAGGCAGGATTATTGACACACGTGTTGACACTGTGCACTGGCCTACCTTGTGATCCAGGGGGCTTTTTATCTGAGGTGAAAGTCTCCTTCACTCACAACAGGTGCTACCATGTGGTAAGTGAGGAAGTCCTGAGGGCCACCTCCTCTCCCACGTGGGAGCCATGTGGCCCCAACAAACAGGATTAGGGTTTGTTTTTTTTTTACTTTTACTTGTGTCTAGGTGCAGGGAATGGAGTCTCCAACTCAGGAGCTCAAACCATGAAGATCCAAGTCGCTAGATCAGGTACTGCAGCTAGCCTAGCAAGGAAGCCCTAAGGAGCAAAGGTCTGGAAGGCGAGCCCAGTGGAGTTCTGGACTTGAATTTGGTGGGACTAATGCTATATAGAACTAGGTTAAGCTGGGAGCCTATTCCCTCTTCCCTTCCAGAGACAGAGAACGTATGGGGGTGGGGGGGAATCATATCCCCAAGATGCTGGGGGAAATATTTGCATTTTTGTTCTTATTCTATCTTCTTTCTTTCTTTCTTCCTTCCTTTCTTTAATTAGGCAATGGGGTTAAGTGACTTGCCTAGGGTCACACAGCCAATAAGTGTCAAGTGTCTGAGATCAGATTTGAACTCAGGTCCTCCTAACTCCAGGGCCTGTGCTCTATCCATTTCGCCACCTAGCTGCCTCCCTTGTTATATCTTTCAAGCAAATATCCTTTATAGGAGTTAATCCAATATAAAGTGGTGAAATGGAAGGAGATGCTAGTCACTGCGGCTCTAAAGTTGGGAGGACAAAATAGTGCCCCAGTCAATGGCAGAGGATAAAGACCCTCTAACCTCTTCAGGACACCAAAGAATGCTTGGAGGAGACGATGGGGGAGGGTGTCAGTGACTGTAACAGATGTGGCCCTTATCGAGTGAGGCCACAAGAACTCCTGTGACCTGTGCCAAGGGCTCTGGTGGCAAGAACTTTCTTTTCTAGGTCTTCAGGGGGCATGGCTACCGAGGGGGCTTTGCACCTGAAAGTATCTGCCACATCACATCTTCACATTGACGAAGTCTGATGGACAATGGCTGAGATGGAAGTTGGAGGGAAGGCAGGATGGAGGCAGGGTCAGTGGCCTGGGGATGGAGCTGCTATATCTGAAGCTTCTGGGCTCAGAGTTCTGGCGGATCTCCACAGGAGTCGGGGTGGGGGGGTGGGGGGGAGGCATACCAGGCAGATGCAGTGGCTCAGCTTGCTCAGTCAGCACCTGTGCCTCCTATCCGTCCCTAAGGCTGCCTTGCTGTGTCAGCTGGGCTAGCTTGTCTACCTAGTGAGTGGCAGCTGGGGGGGTGGGGGTTTCTCCCCTGAATTATGGCTATCAGAGCTGGGCTGGAAATAGGGTGAGTGGTCTGGGGCTTGCTGCTATTCCTAGGCTATCTCCATCTGGGTCTGAGAGTATGTGGTGATTGAGGTGGGGGGCTGTGGCCTGACTCACCTGGGAGAATGTGAATAAGAAAAATGTGAAAGTAGCTGGAAGGAGTATCAATAAGCCTGTAAATCACGTGGATGAGCTCTCTGGATGTGTTCCCAGGTTTAGAGGAAGAAAGAAAGGGTGGAGAAAGCACATTCTTTTGCTTAAGCGAGCAAAACCTAAAAGGTTAATGCAACTGCTATGTAATTAATGATAAAATATTGTGTAAGGTTTGTGACCACAATTAGAAAATTAGTAAGCACACAGGTGGAGCCATGAACTCAAATGGGAAAAAAATAACAACTCCATACCTTTTTAAAAACACTTACTCTTTAAATCCACGATATAAACAGGCCACATTTGCTTCAGTTATGCTCCAATTTTTTTTACATATGAATGCTGTAGTATTCCCAAGTTTTACTTCAACAAGTCCCTCTGACTCTGTTTCTCCATATTTCAAAGAAAGATCAAATTGGCCTAAAATAGAAACCCAATCAATTAGCAATGCTAAAGCATTCACCTCCCTTGAGTCACCACCAGGTTTACTCGCTGGGGTAGGAGAGCTGATGAGGAATTCTCCCTTGCTCAGTTTGGCTGACATTCCTCCAGACTGCTGCGTGGTCTCCTCATCAGACTTGGCTTCTACTGCCACTGACTCTGGGACCACCATGTTCTCCTGTTCTCCTGATTGCCTGGGGGCTCCCATTTCAAGACAGTTCTGTACCGAAGATCAGGAAAGAAGAAACCCAACAGGCACCACACATTTATGGGCACATGGCTTCTGGCTTCTCCTCCACTTAGAAGATCACAGTTTTTTGCAATTCTTCCTCCTCACTTGAAAGTGTGCGGAAAGAGACCTAGAGATAGCCCTCTGTAACTCTTTATATGCCCTCAGTTTTAACTCTATAGCCACCAAAAATATTTTTCATCATCACACAGTCAGCCACCAGAAAACCGCAGGTGATACCTATAAATGTTTTAGGGGGGTGTGTGTCCATATTATATATGCACAGAGGCAGGCCCACCAAGGTTCTGCATGGGTTTGGGACTGGGCTGAGCACATAAAGTAAGCCCCAAGGACTTGTACCTTACCCATTTCATCTGAAATATTTGGGACTTAACCTACCAAGGTATACACACACATTACATAAATGCAACTTCAGAAGATTCTTTGTGGAAATAAAGAAACACTTAAAGAGCCAGGGCCCTATTGGAGGGTCAAAATCAAGTTCTATCAACCAATAAGACTCTGTATTTTATTTGGATCTTCTGTGTCTCTAGTTATCAAGCAGTAAAAACTAAGTCCCTGGAGTCAGGGGACATCTCAGATCATGAGGAAGACCTGAGGTCAACTTCATTAGACGGGGCCATGGACCCTTTAATAAAGTGTTATTGGCTTGGAGCTCTGCCTCAGTGGTTTTTTTCAAAGACTGGACAATTTTGGATGCCACAACCATACACTACGATAAGCTCCAAATTGACACAAGATATAAAAGTTTATGACATAAACAAATTAGAGGCTGAAGGGCTACGGTTCACAGTGCAATCTGCAAACCCCGGAAATGATGGAAACTTTCTACTGGGTATCCCAAAAGTCATGTTCTTGGGTTCCAGGTAGATATTCTAGGGAAAGGGTTAGTATTTGGGCCCACAACGTCACGGGCATCCTTGAGCAAAGGAGACTGAGACAACACCCAAGACAGTGGAGGTTCTATATGACCAAAATGCCCCTCATGGAAGCCTGGTATTTCTTCTTTTGGTACTTTGCTGCTTTTACTCTGTGCAAACATTTTCTAATCCTGGCTTTGGACTTGCTGCCTTGGACTATGATCACCAACTTTCTGTTTAGCCTGCTGGTCCTCCCTGGACCTCAGCATATTTTATTGGTCTTTATGAACATTCCCCTTTCCCTCCCCTTATGTTTAATACCGTTGGTCTGTTAATTGTCCTTAATCATTAGCATGCCTAGGAACCCATTCCTTTATCCCAGGGGAGAGAGAGAAGGAGTGCCAGCAGACCATTTTTTTTTGAATATGGAAGCTTTCCTACCTTGACTATGGCAAGTTCCATTAAGTAAAAACTTTGTTTTTGGATGAAGGCATTCATGACTCTTTAGTTGACAGTAATTATTATAGGTTTTTCCAGTATTTGAACACACAGGCATAACAGCCTTTGGACACTGGTAAGGAAGTTTGCAAAGACAACTTCCTTCAATACATTTTTCCCATGGGTGGCAGAAGACTTTTTCACAAGACTGACGTGTGTAGTTTTCTTGTAAGCATTTTTCATCTAGAAGAACCTCTGGAGCTAGTGAGAAACTCTATAAAATACAAATAAGTATTAAGTTAATGTCAGAAAGAAGAAGTATAGTAGAGTATAGATAAGATTTATGATTCTAAAACCAATATAAAATTCTTTTCATTGGAATCTAGAGGCCTTCGCTGCTATGCTCAGGACCAAGAAGGCAATATTTAACACTTAAAAAAATGCAGAGCAATCAATTTAAAGCACTGTATTTTTAATATAAATGTCTTAGCTAATCTGTGCAACACTTTCAATGACCCTGTAGTGAAGTGAAAAAAGAGTTGGCCTTCTTCCATGAAGACTTGGATTGAAGGTCCTGCCTCAGACACATATTGGGTTATGTGATCAGGGGAAAGTCATTTGGCCTCTCAGTGACCCCAGGCAATTCTCTAAGACGATAAATTACAGCTAATCTGCAACCACGAAGAGTTTGCTACAGGCGGAGTCCTCTATCACAGCCCTAGCCACCCTCTCACTATCTACCAAAAAAGAAGAAAGAAAATTTGGGCCCTTTACGGCAAATAATTGATTTCCCTGGAAATGAATGCTGCTTTCTAAAACACAAACTAGGTCCCTTTGGCTTGAAATCTTTGAACCTGACATTAAGAGAGAAATAAATTACTAGAGTTCTTAAATTTGAAGATGTCCCTACAAGAAAGAAGAATAATTCAATAAAAATGTTTTTCTATTGTTTAATCTTATTAACAAATTACCTCTTCTTTCTGTGTCCTGTCCTCACTACACATGCCACTGCAGCTCTTCCAGTTAAACCGACTTAGTTGTCTTTAGGTTTCTCCACTGATCACTTGCCTTCACATTGACTTCTCCATATAGTGTGCCTTCCCAGAGCTATAACAAGAAATTCTAGAGCAAAAACTTTTAGGGGAGGGGGGTCATGGAAGTGATCGAGAAGACAGTTTGATCTTCGATGGGCTTGCATTAGGAGAAGGGGTGGCTCATTGCCAAGAGACTCAGACCTTTTGAGTGGTTGGTGGCAGGAGGGCTAAAGGAAAAGAGTGCCATGGTGACGTGACCCTGGGAGGAGGGAAACACAAGGGAGTGAGATCATGCTGCGATATTGTGCTGGTGCTGGGGATACAAAGACAAAAGTGGAACGGCTCCAGCCCTCAAAGACCTTATATTCTACTAAGGAATATAACATGGGCACACATAAGGGAATGCAAGAGCATATGTAGCACCTGTCTTGAGAGCACCTCTATGGAGATGGGAGACCCAAGCTGATGCCATCCTAGACTTCACAAATTGCTGACCTGTTTGGATTTGAATTTTTTGAAACTGTGTTTAATTTTGGGAGAGAGAAGCTGGCAGCTAAGTCATTAGCAGGCTGGTAAGATTATGGGACACCAATTGGGACTGGGCATTTCTACCCACTTGCTTTAAAGAGGGATTGAGTCAACATTAGTATCTCAGTTGTCTATTAAGACAATTTCTTCTTCCTTCAGAAGAGGAGTGAGTTCAGGAGACGCTGATTTGGCCTCTCTCGCCAGAATTGTGATTGATGGCTTCTTCCTAGCCAAATGAACTGTTCCCTACCTTGTTCGTTAGCCTTTCATTGCTGCCATCTTATGGGCCCCTTCTTATAAAATCTGATGGCTACTGAAGGTGAAATAAAATATAATAAACTATACTAAATCCTTATTTGTGTGAGTAATTCTGGCACTAGCTATTTGGAAAAACAGGCTGGAAATCAGATTGTGAATGGCTTTACAACTGCTGAAAGAAGGAACAGAGGCAGTGACATGGTCAGAATTTTGATTAAGGATGAGGAGAGGATGTAATTTCACTGGTACATGGAAGTCCAGGTGAAAAAAAACTTACTCTAACAATGCAGATTACCACCTTCTCTGCAATTTATAATTCTAGAATTGCCTGGAATAGTGAAAGGTTAATTTATTCCTCCAAAGCCACTCAACCACTCTGTATCAAAGGTGGGAACTGAACCTAGCTCTTTGTGGTATCAAGAGCGGCTATCTATTACTGCTTCAGGCATATCAATTTGGAAGCTGCACATGCAAGGGCCATGCCTAAAACATAATAGATATAATTATCTATTATGTTTGAGAATTAAATAAATTAAAAAATTAATGAAAATTAATAATAATTGATATTTATGGTCTATTAGTTTTCATCAATATAATTTGTCTTAATTTTGACATACAAGCTATAAAAATGGTAATTGTAATTTATATTTGAGTCTTTTAAAATATTTTGATGATCCTTATATCCCTAAAGAACAGTAAAATTTGATGACTGAAATGAATAATAATGATTAATTATATTTATATAGGCCAACACAGTTTACAAAGTTATTTTTAAAAATACTATGAATCTGCTTCCAGGCTCTTGAATTACCTGATATTTAAACCAAAGTATTGTTAGTTGAGCATTCTAAAATCCAAAGACCTATTGCTAGTATTCAAAATATTTGGCTTACCTATCTATTTTAAAAGAAAACATTTTAAAAAAGAATAAAGTACTTACCTTACAAAAACATAAGCCAACACACAAAAGTAAGAGAAGACAGTGAACCAGTTCCATGTTGTTGAGTAGAATAGCCTTTTTGTCCAGGATTCTTTTCCACCTGGAATCTTCTCTGAGTTTTTAATTTTTAACCTCTGGAAAAATATTTAAAAAAGAGAAAAACATATAAGAGGTGTGTACTTTTGAACTCAAATACTTTGGATGCCATCTGATAACCTTTACCGCAAGTGAAACCAAAAAAAGGCTTCCAAGTAAACAGTAAGGTTGGTAACCAACAGGAACTGCATTTCCTAACAAAAGCAGCTTATTTTTTTCTATCCTCTTAGAGTACAATATTTCAGCAAATAATGAAGACAGAGTTGAAATTAAGTTTAAGCCAGGTTTTTTTTTTCCATGCATCCAACTGGATGCATTTCCTGCTTTCATGCTTATCTTTCCATGGTTTGCCTGATAATATGAAATTATATATGTGTGTGTGTGTATGTGTGTGTGTATATATTTTAAATATTATATATATATATATACACATATATATGTGTATATATATATATATACATACATACATACATATATACATACACACACACACACACATTAGGCAATTGGGGTTAAGTGACTTGTCCAGGGTCACACAGCTAGTAAGTCACAAGTGTTTGGTCTGAGGACACATTCAAACTCAGGTCCTCCTGACTTCAGGGCCGGTGCTGTATCCACTGCGCCACCTAGCTGCCCCCAAAATTAATAATATTTTTAATAAGCCTAAGGACCCAGAGAAGAAGCAAGTGAAGAAAAGTAGGCTTATTATATCAAAGAATATACAAAATAAGATCCCAGTAAAAACCTTCTCATTGGTCGCAATACTTTAAGTCTTGGCAAGACTCACCAGAATTTGAATTCCACTGGCATAGCTTTTGAGAACCAGGGCTATCTCTGCTCTGCTATACACCTTACATCAACATAGCTCTTGATAGTTACAAGTGCTTTCCAGACATTATCTCATTTGATCCTCACAACAACCGGATGGAAGTTATAGAAGAGAGGTCTTCTAACCAATGAAATGAACTTCCTGATAATTAGAACTGTCCAAAAATGGAAGTGGATGTCCTGTAGGGTAGTGACTTTCACATCACCTTAGGTATTCAAGCAAAGCATGTCAGGTTTCATGTTTCATGAAGGGAATCCCTTCCAACTTAAACATTCTGGTATACTAGAGTCAGAGGGAACCAGAATTCAAGTGAGGATGGAGATGAATGAGGGTGCGGTTCAGGTAATTAATTTGGAGGTTTCTGAAAACCTATCATTGCTTTAGTTTGAAAACTAAATTTATAATAGTATATAAAACTTGTATACTTTTATTATATACATATAGATACATATTAATCTAGATCATCTATCTCTAAATCATCTATACCTTATTATATCTCTATCTTGATCATTTATCACTTGTCTCTTATCTATCCATTCACCTCTATCTCTATCAACTATCTTTAGCTTTCCCATCATTTATCTCTAGCTCTTGATCGTCTTGCTCTATCATCTATCCATCTCTATCTCCCTCTATCATCTCTCAACCTATTTTTATTTCTATTTCTAATTTATCTATATTTATTTCTACCTCTATCTGCCTAGCTTTATTTCTCTGTCCCATGTATCTATCCATCTATCATCTACCTAGCTATCTCTAACTTTTAATGCACCTACTAGAAGAGAAGTGTGGACACAATATTAATCACTGGAAAATTTAAAAATGGTTATTTTCTACTATCCTAGCTTGGTGTAGTACTGGTATTCATTGTAATTTAAACTCATATATCTCTTGTATCAGTCTTCTGCTTCCTGAGTACTCTTTGCTATCCTTTTTATCACAGTAGTGAATATAGTCTATGTAACTTCAAAAGCAAAGGCATTTGGACTTTCCCCTTCTTTCTCCACCTCTCATTAGTTAAGAAGTCTAGTGCATTCTTCCCCTGCAATACCTCTTCCACTGGCACCTTTCTTTCCATTTACAAAGTTACTGCCCTCATTCAGGCTCACTTTCTCTCACTCAAAGTTGAAGCTAAAAATTAGCTTTCTAACCGATTTGCCTGGTTCTGGCTCCCCCCTCTCCAATCCACCCTTCACACCACTACCAGAATAAGCTTTCTGACACACAGGTTTGACCATATTACGCCTCTAGTGACCTCTAGTGCTTTCTTTATTAGGGCATTCCAGTCAAGTGCATGGAATCAATCCCATCCTTCTCTCAGAGCAGATGCAGCTATTCTCTTCCTGCCCTCAGGTAACAAAGTAGAAACTTTCCTGACTTGGGCTATGTATGACTCATTGATGGGCTGAATTCCCCTGACTGGTTGCTGAGCTGGGAAAAAGACGATGACACACAAGATAGAAGAGTAGTTACCACCTAGCAGAATTCCTAGCTCTCATACTTTAGGCAAGAAGATATGACTTCAGCCAGGGGTGGAGGAGGGCCTTCTCTGTCCTGTCCAAATGGAATTGGGGGGCTGTCTGTCCCCATGTGGATTGTACCAGCACTGCTGGCTGCCTCTGTCTCCCTTTTGGGTTTCTTTCCTTTGAAATCAACCTTGTGAACATCAAAAAATCCTAGAAGTGCTTTGGAGACCTAACAGTGGCTATCAGAGCACTCTCGAGGTCCAGCAGCAGCAGTGGGAGCAGACTGGCGGTGAGGGAAGGGATGTCAACGAAGAGAAGCAGAAGTCAGTGGAAAGATCCTGCTTGGTATCTGATCAATCTTTGTGTTCAGGGGCGGTGAAATGGCTAATTAGCAGCCTTGAAGATTTGTCCCATCGGATTCTGTTCTACAATCATGCCATGATTCTTCCCCCTTTGCTGTGTGGGAATGAATTCCCTGTTTCATACCCTATTCGTGTTTATGCACTGGGTCTCTTTAATTTAACCTCCCCCAACCTTGAGGGGGAGACCCTACACATTGGATCCATTTCTATTTCTGTTATTAGCAACCTTAGGTCGCAACTTTCATAGGAGATCTTGGGTGGGGCAGTGGTGGAATGAAGCACTGTGATGAATAAAAAGCCCGACTTTCTGGGTAATTAATAATCAATTTATTAATCAGGCTAGGAAATAATCAATAAATTGATTGTCAATGGTCTTGGTAACCAAAGACAAAAGCATGGAGATCTCTGAATGCTTAAATACCTTTAGAAAAGGAGGTGCTCTGACAGGTGAAAATCAGCTCGATTGGTGAACAATTAATGAGGGGGGTAGCTGTATTAATAAGGTGGGCTAAAAGTCTGCTCCTCCCATTAATTTTTTTTGGGGGGGCTAGGCAATGGGGTTAAGTGACTTGCCCAGAGTCACACAGTTAGTGTTATGTATGTGAGGCTGGATTTGAACTCTGATCCTCCTGAATACAGGGCCCCTGCTCTGTCCACTGCACCACCTAGCTGCCCCTGCTTCTCCCATTAAGAATGTGACCTGAGGGGCGGCTGGGTGGCACAGTGGATAGAGCACAGGCCTTGGAATCAGGAGGACCTGAGTTCAAATCCAGCCTCGGACACAGAACACTTACTAGCTGTGTGACCCTGGGCAAGTCACTTAACCCCATTTCCTAGACAAAAAAAAAAAAGAATGTGACTTGATCATGAGACTTAGCTGCCTCCAGCAATCTGGACAAAAGAATTCATCTCTACCCAGACTACTTTGGTTGGTTTTCTCCTTCATGAGCTTGGTCACCCTAAGTTCTAACAGAAGGTTCCAAGAACAGAGGCTTATGTTCTAAAGGCAAGAATTCACCTAATTAGATTCTGTTTGTAAGATCTTCTAGGTGGAGTCCTGCCCAAGATCGAGAAGCAAGTACCAGGAGGATTTGGGCTCTCATCTATTATCCACGTCCTTCAGAGACTGATTGAATGACTTACAAGGGCTGGTCCTTGAATAAGGAAATAAAAAGGAAAAACCTCAATCCTAATTTAGTAATTGGTGATTAATATAATAGGAAAATAATCATTTGTCTCAGCACTGAGCCTAATTCCTTTATTGAGAAGACAGGAAAACCTAGAGCAACGAATGCAGGACGTATTTTGAAGACAAGGACAGGGATGAGCACAAATTATCAGCCCCTGTGGCCTTGGTCAAATGTATGCTAGCTGGCCTTTCTGAAGAACCTTTACTGGCTCTCCACCCTTTACCAAATATAATGCCTGGCACTCATGGTCTTTCACGATTTGGCATCAACCTATTTTTCCAGATGTACCTTACTCTTAAGAGTGTAACTCTTGGAATCACGAGATCTTCACTCTCAGGTCCTACCACAGACACTTAAGGAGTCATTTAACATGAGTTTGCTCATCTGTAAAATGCACATCTTAATACATGCATTCCTTACAAGGCTGTGGTGGGGAAAACACTTACAAACCTCCATGTGCTATGCCAATGAGAAAATTTGCATTTATTTCCCCTCAAGTAGTCTATGGTCTAGTGATTCTAGCCAAATGAAATTACTCTGCGTGATCTAGTTTGTCTTGCCTTTTCTCACCTCCTTTGCTTTGTGAGTGCTGTTCTTCGTGATGGCGTCCTACTGGTCTTTCCCAAACATCTCTGCCTGTTAAAATCCTTGTTTTCCATCCAGGCCCAATTTAGGCGATATGTCTCTGAAGCCTTCTCTGATACCTTGTAGTTATAAGTGTAGGAAATGATTAATTAAGACCCCTGGTTAGTAGCATTCAGTTCAGTTTGATCCCATAAGGGCAGTGATTATCACTGCTGTACTTGTCTACTGACAAATCTTAGTAAATCTAGTGAATCTACTTGCTTAAACCTGATGAGTAAATGACCAAGCCCAATATGGTGGAAGGTGACTCAGCGGCATGGAAAGTGCCCCAGCTATTTTTGATTGTACCTTCACCCTCATTAACCCTTTGCTAGGGAAATGGCCCCCTGGCACTTGGCCAACAGGTGCTAGGAGTACTTGACCAATCTTCATGTTGCAGGAGCTGCCTTCGAATATCTTCTCCAATCTATTGCCCAACATGGGGCCCATGGAAGACCATCATATTTGGATATCCTCTACCAGCTAATCTATAGCAAGCATTAGCTGAAGGTCAAGATATAGGTCTATCAATCAATGAGACTATGTGTTTTACTTCACTTCTTCTGTATCACCTGGACAGCAAGCACTATAAAACTAAGAATTTAAGGACAGGGGGCATCTCAGATCATGAGGAAAATGTCAGGTCTACTTCATTAGAAGGGGACATGGACCCTTTAATGGCTCAGAGCTCTACCTCATGCAGAGAGGACAAGATTGGACCCCACATAACCAAATCTCTCATTTCTCAAGGTCTTGAAATTCTCATAGCACTCTTTTTTGACTTCTCACGTGCTTATAACTTACATTACAGTAGTTATCATGCTTTTCTATAATAGACCACATTATAAGACCCTTGAGGCCAGAGACAGTCCTTCATTGTTCTATCTTCAATGCTAATCCTGGTGTAGATGGTAAAGACAAATGGCACCTGGTGGCTTCCAATGGATCAACAACAGGAAAGTCAACGATAGGAGGGAGAAAAAGTGGGAAATTAATTCTAAGAACACAAAGCTACTTTGCAAGAAGCTGAACATCTTTACCAGTCCTCCTGTTGGTTGATGCAGGGCTGGTGCAAGAGCCAAGGCTGGCACCTCGTATCACGTGTGCTGGAGCATGGCACACAGCTGATGTTAACAGCACCCCGAGGGATTAGGCATGTAAGATGTTCATCTATACGCTGTGGCACTTGGCAGTGGCCTGGAGCCTGAAAGGGACAAGCCTGGATAATCAAATGTTCTCCCCTTTGCGGTAGCTACCAATGGAGGAATTTTGCCCATACTTCTCTCTTCCTCCCCCCCATCTCCATACTGTTGCTCTTGGGGCATGCCAGCTCTCACCAGAGACAATGACCTTTTGCTGAACTGAACAATCAGTCTGACACCCTTAAGAGAACTGCAGAGGTTGGAAGGGGACAGGGAGAGAGGCATGAGGATTAGCTGCAAGGTGGTAGTACTTGAAACCCAAGACTGTTGAAGAGGCCTTGGCAGGGACAGGAGAATGGAGAGTGGAGACTACCAACTTGTAAGGTGGTTCCTGTAGGTCTTCCAAGGGAAGCTGGATGACTGCTTTGCCAAAGACATGGTAAAAGCTATAGGTTGTCAAAAATGACCTATTACAGCTTTTCCAAAGCTGAGACCCTTTAATCCTGGAAGTATTAAATTAGAGCTGGAGGTCCAGGTTCCGAGCCTTTGCTATGCTCAACTAACCATGGACAAGCCACTTAGCTTCCTGGTCCTCATTTTCTTCCTTGTAAAATGAGAAGCTAGACAATTTAGCTAGTGCCAGATTTTCTATTCTCCTACACTACTTATAATAAACAGGGTCTCCTGAAATAACACACATTGGATGACCGCCTCCATCAATTCCCTAAATCAAATAATCTTACAAAACACCAGGAGAGATTTTTTTTTCAGTCTACATCCACTTATTAAGCACTTTCCTTATCTCTTAATATTAACACCTTCCTTCCGCTATGTACAATTTATCCTGTGTATAAATTGTATGTAGCAGTTTGAATGTTGTCTCCCACATTATACCGTAAGCTCTATCAGAGCAGAATTCTTTTTCCCTTTCTTTGTATCTCCAGTGCTTAATACAGTACCTGGCACATATCAATAGGTAGAATCAACAGGAGTTGGCAGTTGTTTGGATATACAGGGTTGTGTGTGTGTATATGTAGCATTAAGTAATCAAGGATGACAGATTGGGAGTTTGGGTTACTGGGACAGTGCTGCCTACAGTAATAGGAAAGTGAGGAAGACATGAGGATTTGGGAGTAAAAATAATTAGTCCATTAAAAAAAATTTTTTTTTATTAATTTATTTTGATTTATCAACAATCACTTCCATAAGCTTTTGAGTTTAAAATTTTTCTGCCCCTTCCTCCCCAAGACAGTGTGCAATCTGATATAGGCTATACATATACATTCCTATTAAACATATTCACATTAGTCATGTTGTAAGGAAGAATTAGAACCAACAGGAGGAAACACAAGAGAGAAGAAACAAAACAGAAGGAAAAAAAAGCAAATACTATGCTTCCACCTGCATTCAAACTCCATAGTTCTTTCTTTGGTGATTAGTTCATTTCTGTACAAGGTGAGTTTTAAGATGTCTATGGGATATCCTGTTCAAGATGTCCAATAGGCAGCTAGAGATTTGAGACTGAAGGTCAGGAGAGAGGTTAGAGCTGGATGAAGAGATCTGAAAATTATCAGCCTAGGGATAACTGAATCTGTGAGAACAGATGAGATCATCAACCAAAATAGGATGGAAGGAGAAGGCCCAACCCCTGGGGAACACCTAAGGTTAGGGAATGTGACCTGTAGAAAGATCCAGCAAGAAGACTGGGGATAGGTTATATGGAAGCCATAAGAGAGCAGTGTCAGGAAAACCTAGAGAGGTCAATGAGGCAATGCTGCAGAAAAGTCAAAAAGGGATGAGGATTGAGAAAAGACCATTAGATGTAGTAATTAAGAGATTATTGGCAAATTTAGGGAGAACAGTTTCAGTTGATGAGGTCAGAAGCCAGACTGCAGAGTTAAGAGAAGCAATAATCTGCTGCTACTGAACGGTAGACACTTCCAGTTTAGTCACAAAAGGGAGATGACGCAGGACTGCTAGTGGGAGGGGTTAGAAGGATCAAATGAGGGGTTTTCGAGGATAAAGGGAGACATGGGAGAGAAGAGAAAGTCCTCTGATTGGCTTTTATATATTGACTCATTACACATTACTGCCCTTCTCACACTTCGTGGTCCAGCCAAACTGGGTATCTCCTGCCTTTGCACTCATCACCTACCACATCTAGAACATACTTCCTTCTTACTCCTGCTTTTGAATTCCTCACTTCCTTCAAGAGGTGGCTCCTGTACTACCTATAGGAAGCCTTTCCTGATGCCAACTGTGGCATCCTCCCTCCCTAGCTACCTTCTATTAAAAAAAAAAACCTTATTCTGCATATTCTTCTATTTGTGTGTTATCTCCCCATTTAGAATGGAAGCTTCTTGAGAACAGGGATGGTTTCATTTTGTCTTTGTGTCCCTTTGTATCAAATAGCAGGTGCTTACTTGTTAAGAGGATTTTTACTGAGCCAGTCTCTATTCTGAGAATGCTCAGAGCCACACAAAGCAGGCCTAGAGATGGGAATGCCAGTAATCAAGTAGTTTAATCAATTTCAGAGTGAGGAATGTTCTCTTAGCTGAAGTAAAAGCACACATTATATACTTATATAAGGGAAAGAAAGTGGATTACAATCATTTAGTGGTTTACCACCAGTAAGTCCCATAACACAATTCTGGTGTCAAGTCTTTGGGTTGGGTGTTGTGACCACCTCCCTTAAAGCATAGAACCAGCGTTCTGGGACAGACACAGGTTCTTCAATCTTTGATTTGCTTCACGTTAAGGTCCAATGATTGTGAGCACTGTCAGTTTTGATGAATCAGTTCAAGCTGCATCATGAGCTCTGACTCAGAGAGGCAGCTCTTGAGAAAACGAAATTATTAGTATATTGATTTTACATATCATACTGATGTGAAAATTATATTTCTCTTTACTTAATAAATGCTTGTTGGTTGAATAAAACTTTAAGAACTGCATTTTGCAATGGAATTGAAGGAGTTTCCAAGAATAGAATGTTTCAGTGATTTCCCCCAGTTTTCTGAGAGTAGTAAGCCTTAAATGCCCAAAGTGAACCATAACCCTTTCAGCTATGATATCTTCAGAACAGAGTAAGATAAAATGTAAGAGACAAATGATAGAATCCTAACAAAGTTCCTCCCAGTTCCAGTATTCTAACTTCCTTATAGGCCAAACTGAACAGCAGGCATGCCCTGATTTAACCGCATGATCTGACTTTAACCACATCACAGGCTGCCAGACTCAACATCGCCTTGGCACCTAGCTAGCCACTGCCCCCAGATCCAATTCACATATTTGAACAGGTGTGTTCGTGTACTCAACCACAATCACAACATCCATTTAGTCCAAGACAGGACCACGATACCTACCCATCCATCTTGACCAGAAAGGACCACAACAGCCAGCCAATCAGAAAACAGCACGACCAGAATGTGTGACCACGGAACCATAGAAGGGACGCCTCCCTATTACCTAATCTCTTAACAAACTCCTCCTGCCCTTTCAATATCACAATGTGTAACTGCATCTTTGCCCTATACAAACCCATCATGCTTTCTCCGAAGTCGCTGGCTCCTCCTGGCCCCAGCCCCATTCCGAGGGGCGTCAGGCCTCCCTAAAGCCTGTGCTTGCATCAGAGGTGGTCTGACCCCGACCTCCGTGACGTCACAGCAGTTTTTGGTGTCTCTGGGTGGGCAGAGTCCCAGCCCCCACCCCACGCAACACAAACCTAAAACCTTAGGCTTTTCATGAACTGCACTGGCCTATAATTGATTCACAGCCAGCCATCTCCGTGGCAAGCACTTGGGCAAGCTGATGAATCACACGTGAAACTCTCACTACATTTGTCTCCGGTAAATTTTACCTCGCTCGATTCCGAGGATGTTACCACGGGAAGGGTCCTGGGTGGGAGGAGGTTAGCTCTGACTCACGAGAGTCAGAAAACCAGGGGAAATCCTTCCTCACCCCGCGCCCCGATCCCTCTGCCCTATTGCAGTAATAACAACAGCTAATCTACATAAGCCACCTGCCGGGCGCCGTGCTCAGCACTTTACCGCAGCGGGCATCGCAGGCCCCTCGGACGAGCCCCGGGCCCAGCGAGCGCTCTTCGGCGAGGGGCAGGGGGCCGCCCGGCACAGGCACTGCGGGCGGAGAAAGCCGTGACCTGTTTCCAAACCCCAAAGAAGCGGCGAGGGCGGCAGGGGGCCGGACTGCTGACGTAGCCCTCCCCGGGCCAGCCCCGCCCCTGGAGTCTCACTTCCGGCGCCTGCCGTTAAGCATCCCCGACTTCCGCATCGCAAAACGATCGCGCGCGTCGGACGCCGGCAGGCTCCTGATTACGTTGAAAAGGCTGCCTCCTGCCGGCGTTTTTCCCCTTTTCCGAGCCTTTTGGCTCTTTCTCAGTGACTCAGTTGGTCAAACTCTGGTCCATTCTCCTCCCTGCGCGTTCTTCTGTGTCGGGGGCGGCAGCGGTTGAGGGAGGGGGGAAGGGAAATCGTCGCTAAGGCGCAGACGAGGAGGGTGGAGGGCGGGGCGCGAGCGAGCAAGCTCCGGGTTGGGGTGGGGGACGAGTGAGCGTGTGGCCAGAGTTCTCGCGCAGACGCGGAGCGGAAGTGTGTGTGTGTGTGCGCGCGTGAGTGCGCGCCTCCGGAGTGGGGAGCACGAGGCGCCGGTGGGTGAAGCGTAAGGGCGCTCGAGGAGCCAGAGATTCCGGACGCATGTGGGGGCCGGAGCGGAGGTGAGAGCGAGGAGCGGGGCGGGGGAGGCCGGCCCGGGGCGAGCGACCCCCCGACCCCTGGGGCAGAGCGCCGGGCTCCCCAACTTCGCGGGGACTCCGCGGTGCTGACCCTGTTCCTCTCCCCAGGTAGGAGGAGAGCATGTCCTTTCGAGGCGGAGGCCGCGGAGGAGGCCGCGGGGGGGGTGGCGGCTACACCCGCGGGGGCTTCAGTCGGGGCGGCGGCGGCAACTACCGAGGCGGAGGCGGAGGAGGAGGAGGGCGAGGCGGGGACCGCGGCGGCGGCCGAGGAGGGCGAGGCGGGGACCGCGGCGGCTTTGGCCGGGGAGGCTTCGGACGAGGAGGGGGTGGCCGCGGAGGCTTCCAGAAGGGCGGCTACAACGAGGGACCCCCGGAAAACGTGGTCGGTAGGTCACGCCCACGTGAGTGCGTGGGTGCGTGCGCACGCGTGCTCGGGGGAGGGGGCCCACGTGCCGGGAGGTCTTGGGGGTGGCAACTGCGGGAGAGGCTTAGGGCACCCCCTTGTGTCCCCGAACTTAGGGAGTCTGAGCGGGGGGCGGCTTGACCGACTCGAACTACAGCAAAGAAGAGCAGAAAGTGCAGGACTGCCCGGCACATTGCTGGTTTGAGCTTGAGCCTGGAGAACAGGGACCTAAATCAGGGCCGGGGTCGGCTTTCAGGAAGAAGACCCGAAAACTTGATAGGTTTTTAATGTGGGGGGGGAAGAGAAGGAAGCATTCCTAGGGAAGAATAATCCTCCTCTATTGGATGTAGTCACGTCATCGAACATTATTAAGCACCTAGTGTGTGCTAGGCACAGCTGCATAATAAGAGCTATAAGGGAGAATTTGCTGTCTGTAGTTTAATGGGAGAGACCACATGCAAACCACTATGTGCAGACAACTTAGAAACAAGGAAAATCTTAAGAGAAGGCGCTTAGAGTAAGGGGGACCGGGAAAGATTTCTTACTTTAGCTGAGACTGAAGGGAGGGAGCCAGCAGGTTGAGATGAGAATGAGGGACAGACAGCTAGTGGAAATGCCCGGATGTGAGGTGGAGTGTCTTGGGTAAGGAACAGCCAAGGGGCCAATGTCACTGCATCCCAGAGTACGGTATGTTTGGGGAGGAAAAAGGTCCGGGAGACTTGAAAACTAGAAAGGGTTCAAGTTATGAAGGGCATTAAATGCCAAAAAGTGGATTTTGTATTTGATTCTGGAGATGAGAGGAAGCCACTAGATAAATGCGAGGGGGATGATGGTGACATAGACTTAGCTTTAGGAACGTGATTGCTAGCTGAATGAAGTGGGGAGAGACCAGGAGATAGTGGGGAAGTTTAGTGGGATGAGGCTAAATTTTAGAGATCCTTTAGTGTTGTTTCGGAATCTAGGCTTCATGTAGGAAGAATTGAGTTCACAGTGAGTTCCATGAGCCAATGGAATGGTAATAAAAGCTGTGTTTTTGAAAGATTGGTGGAATTGGAGGGATCACTGGCAGGAATCTTAAAGGTGACTTAAAGAATGTTGCTGTAGTCAAGCTGAAGATAAAGACCTGAAACACTATGATAGAAAAGGGAATGGAGATGAAGGGACAGTTAGTTGTTTGTGAAATTGGTAAGACCTCACTAATGGATGGATTACATTCCATTAATGGAAGAGAAAGGTTAAGTCAGATAAATTGAGCCTCCAGGAGGATGTAATGAGAATATCCAGTTTGGGGGACAGAATGAGTTCAGTTTTGAACTATATGAGTTTGAAGTGCCATCCAAATGGACATTTTGATGAGTTGGCACTTATTAGATGCTTGACTTGATAACATCGTTTTACTAAAGGTTAACATAAGAGGGTGATTATCATTAGCATGGGAGAAAGACATGACAGAACAGAGCGTAGGAAAGATGAGGGGCTTTGGAGAACACATCAAATTGGGGGAGTCGAGGTGGAAGGAAATAGAAATGAAAAGATGTGGTCATAGAAATAGAAGTATGAGGAGACTGAGTAATACAAAGTCGGAAAGCGAAATGAATATTTTTAAGGGATGGTTTGGTTGAACTAATGTTTCACATTGTAACATTTTCTTTTCTTATTACAGTGTTAGGAGAGTTCTTGCATCCCTGTGAAGATGACATTGTTTGCAAATGCATAACTCATGAAAATAAAGTGCCTTATTTCAATGCTCCAGTTTATTTAGAAAACAAAGAACAGATTGGTAAAGTAGATGAGATATTTGGACAGCTTAGAGATTTTGTATCCTTTTTTTCTCTAAACCCAGTGATACATTATTTCTCCATCCTTAGAAGCACTTGGCAATATTAACTATGTTTCAAATTCATTCTAGTCTAATATAAAATCTAACACCTTGAGGCTGGAAACAAAGTGGGAGTATTCAAGGGAGGAGGAGAGAGTTTTTTCTTTAAAACAAAGTAAGAGTTATTATTTATTGTTAGAATTTACTGACAAGAACTTACAGTAAGTGGGCTATACTTGTAAGATAGTGGGGATTGAAATATGATTGTCCTGGTGATGGAGATTTCTTACTTTAAAAAACAAGGTCTGATAATTGAGTTTTGGAATTAGTAGGTGGTGCTGGGAGTAGAATTTTACTATAGAGGATAATCTAAGAGAGTTGGAGACTGCTGTCACCTGCTTAATATACTGTCCTTTTCTATGTACCATAATTTTTTCATTTGTTGGAACAGCACAGTAGTTGTGGAGGAATAATATTTGCTTGGCTAGGTACTCCAATCTCTTATCATTCCTTAATCAAACTTAACAGTATTTTTCAGTTAAACTGTCAGAAAACATGAAAGCCTCCTCTTTTAAAAAATTACAAAAGGTAAGTTTAATTGATGATAACTCAAAATCTGGCTAAGCAGACATAGATTTTTCTTTCTATTCACCTACATTCTGTCTTGAAAAGAGTTATCTTTTCAAATTACTGCTGTGGTAGACGCATTCATGAAATAATTTCTTTTTATTAAGAGTAAAGTTTTTGGAATCATAGTATTTCAGATACATTAAAGTACTTTTTTCTGATGTATATGTAGTACAGAGTTTTTCAAAATTGGAGTACAATATTATGTTTGTTTAGAATTAGGTAATTGGTCAGTACTTTTCCTTTTATGTATAGTACAATGTTTTTGATGTTTTTGTCCAGGATTTGCTTAGAAAATACACTATCTTTCATTAATGTAAAACAGCAAAATACTATCCTTCTAAAATTACTGTTAACATAATTTTTTGAATTCTGGTAATTTTTTTAAGAGCATATGCTGAAGCTGCTTGTCTTGGAATACATTTATTACCATAACTCACAGTTAAACGCGTATTATTAATGACTTTAAAGTAAAAACTTTTCCTATGGGAAAGATTTTAAGTTTCTTGCAAGAAAACCGTGACCTAGTAAGGTTTATTGTGTTGGAATTTTTAGGTTCTATTATCCATAATTGAAGTCAGGATTTCATAACTAGTTATCCTTCAGCTCTTAACACAGTGTCTTGTATACTTTAAATATTTTTGATTTGGTTAAAGTTATGAATGGCTGGTGTGCTTGTATTTTGAGTTTCAATCTATGTGCCCCTCTTCTGGCCCTCTCTGTGAGTTGGGGAGAATTCACTCCACTTAAAGGTAGAAATTGAAACTAAAGTTTTCAAAATTATTTTTTTCAGGCATTCTCATCCTGGTGATATCTTGAAAGGGTGTTTTAGCTATCTTAGCAAATACAAATAAGGGAATGCAAAAGTAATTGTTATTAGGCAATGATTGATGTATGTGTTCTCATAGTATACTTTTTACTTATATTTTCAGTTTTACATTGACCCATATAAACTGCTGCCCCTGCAAAGATTCTTACCTCGGCCACCAGGTGAAAAAGCACCTCCAAGAGGTGGTGGTAGAGGAGGAGGAAGAGGAAGTGGTGGTAGAGGAGGAGGAAGAGGAGGTAGAGGTGGAGGAGGCAGAGGTGGTAAGTTACTTGTCATAACAGCACTTGCAGGACTGCTTGTCATTGATGGGGGATGGGAAACCTTTAGAAATGGAGGGCAAGTTGTGTATTTACAAATAGGACAAATAGGCGTAAGACCTATTGTAATATTCACCTTCTCTACTTGAATAAAAATTTAGCAAAATTCTAGAGAGGGATACTGAACTTGCAGCCTTGAGGCCACTCGTGTCCTTCTAGGTCCTTGGGTATGGCCTTTTGACTGAGTCCAAGTTTTACAGAACAAATCCTTTTATTAAGGGGATTTGTTCTGTGAAGTTTGGATTCAGTCAAAGGGCCAAACTTGAGGACCTACAGGGCCACATGGGGCCTTGAGGCCTCAGGTTCCCCACCCCTGTAATTCTAGAGTAATTGTAATGGCAGAGAAATTTCTACTTAAACTTTTGTCGTAACTGTTTTCTCAAATTCGGGGAAAAGCCTTTTTATTTTAATAACTTTTACTATTACTACTTAATAAATTCTGAATTTGAAACTGCCATTAACTGCATAAATTAATTTTCAAATGGATTAGTGTCCATATAAGTTTGGTAACTTGTTCAGTAATGATGTAATATTTTAGTCTTTTAAGGGAGAATAGTAAATGAGACTTTCCTTTTGCACACTACTGCTTTCTCCTAAAAATTTTTGTTTTGATTTGTACTGGTTTCCCCCCCCCAAAAAAAAACTGTTGTAAGGTCACATAGAGTATTAATTTCGCTTTTTTCAATGTAGCTAGCTCTCCAATCATTATTACATTAAAGATTTTTTAAATGTGTGAAATATACAACTTTCTAATTGATTTTAAGCATAGTTTTCATCCTCCCTATGTTGTCCTTCTCTCCAAATTACAACCCATTGCCATCCAGATAGTTTAAATTTCCCAGACCGGCATTCAAGGCCCTTTATTCTTTTGTCCTACCCTATTTAACCAACGCTTATGTTCCACTAATCTCTTAAGATATATATTCTCACTTTCAGCCAGAATAGTCTCTTTATGATTCTTATGTTCATGATGTGCTGAAGTCTACATTCTAGTTTAAGGATTAACTTTCACAAGAATTTAAAATTTTTTCTAGGCTACTTTGATCTTGCCACTGGTACTCTCCCCAGGCTTTATAATTTAAAACACAAACTTTGGCATAATAATTTTATTATTTTATTTATATCTGGTTGTTATGCATATGTTACCTCTCAGATGCAACTCTTCACTAAAAAAGAAATCAAAACAAATTTTTACTCGTAGTTCAAGACTTTGTCTTAAGATTTAGCTTGATAACCAGTGAAGGGGTTGTAGCATTCTTTTACCTACTAGTTGTGTTTTCCTCATAATGTGATAGTTTATGGTTATTATAGAAGAGCCTAATTTTGTGAGATATTCTTTTTTGTGTGTGTTTTTCCCCAGGTGGTTTTAGAGGTGGAAGAGGTGGTGGAGGCTTCAGAGGAGGACGAGGAGGTGGTGGCTTCAGAGGTGAGAGTTAAAAGAAATTTACACAGCATGTTCTGAATTATACATCAATATTTTTCTTGTTTTTTATTGGAAATGGATGTTTTAAATATATTTTTAAAAAGGATCTGTATCTGTATGGATATCTGTACTTTAGTATCTGTAGTAGACAAATTTAATTGTATAAATCCAGACAGTAGCTGTTGCTTGTAAGTATACCGTTTGTTGGTAACATCCAGAGATTATCTTTATGACTACCAGATACCTTAGGAAATAATAGCTGACTTTGTGTATCAATTGACTAATTACATATTAATATAAGTACTAATGCAGATTTTGACCTTGATTTTCTAATTAAATTACTAAAAATTCTAAAATTCTTAACTTTGTATTTTTCTTACTCCAGGTAGAGGACGTTAAGTGGAACTTTTGGCAAGTAAACTTCATTCACCAGTTGGCTTTTTGAATCATTCTTCAGAACTAAGGAATTATTTCTGCTGTGGATCTGAAGATTGGTTTTTTTTAAAGCAAGTACAATTCTAAGGAACTGGTCACTTTATGACAGTGTGTCAACAGTGTCACTACACCGTGCAGAACGGATGCAAAGGATGAGACAGTTTTGCTCCAAAAGAGCGGGGACTGAATCTTTTATATATTTTGTACAATGCGCAGCACTCTGTGGGTGCTTAATAAATGTTCAGTAATACTTTTGTTGTAATTCGGAGTTTTTAAATATGAAAATTTAACTTTTTTTCTTAGTTTTAAAATTGATAGCTGTTGTTATTCTGGCTTGACTTCATTTTTGAAGGTCAAATACCCACTGAATGAATTTTAAAAAGCTTTAACAGCCTAGACGTAAATATATTTGCATAAACTCAGTTCTCAACTTGTCAGTTTGAGCTATGCTAGTGCTATGGTACTATAGTGCTTATGAGCTATGTTAAATGGACTCTTTCCAAATAAATACCTATTGTATATAGGAACATCGACACTTTTTAAATGATTGTATTCTCTTCTTTATATAAAGCAATTGTGATTCTTTAACTACTTTGGTCAGTAGGTAACTTGATAAATTATAGGTGAAAAGAACTTTGCCAATTGATACTACTGTCAGAAAATTTGAGAAATAAGTGTAGAAAATTGGGTTAGTTACTTCAGTTGAGTACTGGCTGGAAATTAGACACCATAATATGTGGCTGTAATGCATTCAACTTAAAGCCTGAAATATTCAGGGTTTTTATTTGGGTACTCTGGTGATTTAATTCTAGTTGAGAATTTAGAGGTTTAAAATGTCCATGAGTTGCCCAGACCACTGTTAGTAGGTGAAGGTAAGCTTGAAGGTCTATAGAAAATTTAATTAATAGGCTCAGAGACTGATCCATCATTTATGGCAATTATGTGACTGTGTTAAGCAAATTTAAAATACAGAAATACTTGCATGGAATACTGGTTTCAGGAAAGTGTTCTTTCTCGTGGTGTAATATTTTAGAATATTTATATGCACATAATGCTCACTTAAATCAGTGGTCCCCATTGGTTTCTCATGAGTGCTTCTAATAAAACTATTCCAACTGCTCACAGGTTGGTGAGAAAGCTTATCAGTTTCACATTGTCCCACTATGCTATTTTTTTTCTCATGATAGTTTTGAAAGATGTTACTAATATTTTCTTTGCCCATCATCCTGTGGGCAAAGCATGTAATCCCTTATAACCAATTCTTGATTAATACTTCATTGTTGATTTGAGTACTACTAAGGATTTCAGTAATAATTCCATATTGATTAGTACTCTGAAGAAAAAATTATTTTTGGTCTTTTCTTGGCTAATCAAGCTGTCAGGATAAGTAAGTGTGGTTTCACTCTTTGAGGCTTTGGCAGACTGGAGCTTGTGTTTGGGTAGGAAAGGTGCTGTTGGATTTAATTATCATTTTGCTATTAGAATACAAATTTCAGCAAGGATTAAGGTCAAGTTTTTTCTCTTGGCTTATGATAGAAATATCAGACTGCACCCTAGTGGGTGATGTCAGTGCCCCAAGGGCAAACAATAGTATATTTTTTCTACAGTTGTATTTTTACAGCTTTGATTTCTGTTGCATGAATTCTTAAATCCATATTCAGATCTATTTGAGTCCTAGTAGGTAACCTATTAGAATGGTGTAGTTAAAAGCACTCAGGGATTCAGTCTTCAATATGAATATAAATCTCAGCATCATTGTCTGGCTTTGACAGTTGTTATTCCAAGTCTTATTCTAATATGTTCCTTATTTGTGAGAGGCTGTTTGGGAATTCCTTATGGAAATAAGTCATAACTTGTAGAGATGTAGTTTTTGAGTTCAGGATAAGAATGTTTTTGAGGTTCACTTTTTTAGCCTTTTAAGTTGAAAAGTAACTTCTCTTCTCTTACTTAAATTGTTCCCATGGCTCCCCTTCTATCTATCTAGAGTAGACCTTCAGGGAATTACTACATCACTGGTGGTGATAAAACAAGTGGGTATCCTGGCTATGAATACTGTGTAAAGTGGGATTCCTGATTTTTCTTATAAATCATGAAGCTTGTATGTTATGTCTATAATAGACATTTTTAATGGCCCAGCTAGGCTTTATTCATATTTCTATATTACTGGTGGCAGAAACTTGCAAAAACACTATGTGTTGTGTGCATGTGTGTGCTTGTGTGCTCTCCACATTCAATCTATATACCTCTAGGGACAACAGAGTGCATAGTTGGAGAGGCTTTTTCCTCTTTTTTTTTTAATGTGTGCAAGATTACATTCTTTTAAATCTAAGTAAATTTACTGACAAGTTTGAGCTTTTCTGGCAAACTTTATAGCCTACATTTTAAAATTTGATTAAATGCAGTCTGCTTTAGGAAGAAATGTGAACTGCAGTATATTTTTCTGATAAAGTTTTGGTTGAAGAGAAATGTATTAGCTAACATTTATGAAGCACTTTATGGTTTACAAAGTGCTTTCCCCACAACCCCAGAGTATAAACAAGTGTTATTCCCTTTTTGCAGGTGAGGAAAAAGAGGTGAAGTGTCTTGTTCATGGTAGCATAACTAGTTTTTAAGACAACTGAGCTTGGGTGAGTTCTGTTTTGACTTAAATGTGCTTATCCAAATTTCTTGTTCAGGACTTGATTTCCCTATTTGATGAAAGTTGTATAATAGAGCAAGTGCTCTCTCCAGGAAATTAGCCAATTTGCTTTCTAGTAAAGGTTTTAAATGTGTTTTTAAAAAGTATCGTCCTAAGGTTTACAGAAATGCTCGATTTCCTATAACAGTAGTTTGAGGATATCTCTTTGGGAAAAAGTGAAAAATTAAAGTTCAGCAAAACATTGCCTACTATGTTTAAGACATAAAAGTGGACTATATCTTTATTTTATTTTATTTCTTTGCTTTTTTTTTCTGATGAGGTGGTCAGGGTTAAGTGACTTGCCCAAGGTCATAAAGCTAGTACGTGTCAAGCGTCCGTGGTCGGATTTGAACTCAGGTCCTCCTGACTCCAAGACCGGAGCTCTATCTACTGTGCCACCTAACTGCCCCTTACGTCTTTATTCTTTTCAGAATGATTTGGTCACATCAGGAGACTGCTGGATGTGGAAGGTGCATAGATTTGGCAATTGGGAAACTTCAGCTCTGGGCCTGGCTGTGTCAAATTCAGTTAAACAAGTTTAATTCTGCTTTTCATAGGAATTTGTATGGGAAAGAATTTACAGAAGATTTAGTCCTGGCCCTAATGGAACTAATACTCTAATAAGTAGTGAATTAATCACTTAACATCTTTGGTTTGGAAAATCTGAGTGTCCTCTTTTGTAAAACGCGGGGGCGAGATTAGATAAAGAAGGGGCAGTGTGGTGAGATGGAAAGGATACTGGTAGTCTAAGTCAGGAGATGCTAGGTTCAGAATTCTGCCTCTAAAACTTAATAGCTGACTAATTGTGGCCAAGTGCCTTTGCTTCTTTGAGTTTCCTCATCAGTAAAATAGAAATAATACCTGTAGTACCTGTGTCTTAGTTGTAGTGTATGTAAGGAGCTTTGTAAACCTTGAAGCGTTATGTAAATGTCGGTGATCATGGTCTCTGATTTGATCAGTAAAATGAGAAGTCTAGGCGAGGTGATCTCTAAGATTCTCAGTGCTAAAATCATTCTGATTTATAAAATTGAGATGGTGATATATAAATGGATGCATATGGCCCTCTAGTGGTTGTATGACATTCCTGCAGTAGAAACCTTGCCATTATTACTGTTCTTAGAATGTTAGTTATTTTCACTGAGAATATGTGGTCTTGGTCAGAAGTAAAAGATTTATAGAGAAATTTTGGAAGAAATAGAATTCTTAAACCATTTGTCACTCCTGTTTTACATTGTGAATGGCTTCGTTAAGTTGTATGTAATTGCCCCATTTTTTAAGGCATAGAAATATAATCTGTATATCCTGTACTCCATCAGATCAATAACTAAATCCAGGCATTCTTTTATGTAAGCTATACTTATTATTAAAGAATAATTATTAAATGACCATGTGTGGATAATGCTGTATGGAGTTAATGAAACGACAACAGGTGAACAATGTTTTACTGTTATTTCAACAGAGGCAGTGACTGAGAATTTGATTCAGTGTCCCAGTTTTAGAAGTCACTTCACGATGACCAAAGCTAGTTGCTGTGCTGACTTTTCTGAAAGTGTGGCTCTCTGACCTCTAATCCTCCTGGGGCTTTGGGAACAGCACTTTTCAGGACAACATGGAATGCCGGCTGCCTAGGGCTGAGTTTTAGCTTGTTTGGTACTAATGGAAACCTTGGGACCACAGTATTAGGATCAGTTCTTACATTATAAAAGTCTTCTTTGAGCAACCCTGGTGGAAAGCCGTCAGGTTTGATCCTTAAGGTCTGAGGAGCTCCCAAGAATGGGATGGTTCAGTGGAGTAGCCCTTAATCTCCTGGGAGAAATCTGTCTTCAAATGTCTATCCACATGGGGCAGAACATTCCCATGAAGGAAGATGTTATTCACATCCAAAGGCCATTTCCACTGCTGCGCTATCACTCAGGTGTACCTCACGTTAGTCTGGTTACCCTGTCAGGAAACCCTGCTAGAAAATTACTTTGTTTCTAGAGGGGTTTCAGTTGTGTTTATTGTTTTTTGATTATGACAAAAAAAATCCACCACCTTACAAGCTCTTCAACAAACTTTTTTCTTATCTGTATGTCAGTCATTCACAATATTCTAATGAAAAAAGTATTGAAACTTTGAGCTGTGGTCACTGCGATGACCAACCATGATTCCTGAGGACAGGTGATGAAATGTAGTACCCAGTTTCTGACAGGAAAGCCATGAGCTCAAGATTCAGTTCAGAATGGTAGGTTTTCAGCATATCTGACAAGGTCTTTTTCTTTTGGTTGGGGGGAAGAACTAGCAATGGAGTTAGCAAAATGAAAAAAGAATAAGGAGAGTTAGTTGCATGTTGAATTTAATGTGAACTTGAAAGGAATAGCAAATGATATTTAATGCATAAGTTCAGTTTCAAGTTCATTTTTTGTCTATTCTTTGTGTATGGAAGGACTGTTCAGTCACCCTCTCTGATAGTTAACATCAAGTGAAGTATAAATAAAACCAGGAAGATAATACACTTAGCGGTACGATGGAGGTGATCTAATGCAGAGTACATGTCAAGGTAGTATTCTCTGAATAGTGAAGTCCTCCAGATATTCTTTTTGGTGGATGACATATTAATTTCAGCAAGACCCAAGACTTTGCAGAGCCTTCTGAAAGAGATATGTAATCACTCAAAAGAATTTAGCCTGTCCATTCACATAGGAGATACCAAATGGATTTCAATCAGTCTTCTCTCTAATACCCCGTTTTTCCTTCTCCCTTTTCCCTCCTGTTTCCCTGTTGAATAGTATTTACTTCTGTGACCATCTCTGTGTGTGTGAGTATGCTTCCCTTCTTCGACCAGCTCAGATGAGGGTGAGATTCAAGTGTCAAGTAATCCCCTTCACCCCTTCCTGCTTTATATTGACTTATACTTGTGTACCTCAATTATGTGAGAATTTCCCCTAATCTTGCTTTCCTTTTTCTTCCATAGTGATTCCCCTTCCCTTCTCTTTCCATGACTATACTTTGGAAAATGTTATAAATGATAATTTAAATATCTTCAACAATTTAAATTGTGTTACTTTTAAAGAGGTGAAAAAATATCTCTTCATGATGAATAAATTATATGTAACAAGTTTGAAGAGGATGTCTATTGGTGCTTCTGAAGCTATTACAAGCAAAGACAAGTAGATATGGTTTAAGTACCACAAATATGGAAAAATGTAAAAAGCCCAAATCTAGAAAATTATGATCTAAAGTTTTATTTGTGAGATTCATAAGTGCTATTATTGATGAGTTAACACACATAAAGCACTTTGTAAACCTTAGTTTCTGTTATTGTTCAGTCATGTACGTGACCTCATTTGGGGTTTTCATGTTTGCCATTTCCTTTTCCAGCTCATTTCACGGATGAGGAAACTGAGGCAAATGAGGTTAAGTGACTTGCCCAGGATCACACAGCTCATAAGTGTCTGAAGCTAGATCTATTCTGCTTTTTGATCTGGGGCAGCTAGGTGGCGCAGTGGATAGCGTGCTGGACCTGGAGTTAGGAAGACATCTTCTGAGTTCAAATCTTTCCTCCCTCTCCTGCATTCCACCTACCTGTCTCCCACCCCCACATGTACCTAGTGACAGAACTGTTTTCTCCGTGCAGTCTTACACACACACACATGTACACACATTCCAGAACTGTTTTCTAGGTTCAATACAGTTAGAGAACATTCTCAACTAGCAACCCATATTCACAAGATCTAGAAGAATCTTTTCTCAGTCTGTTGGGGTAGGGCCTGGCCCCAATACTTAATAATCTCTTTAGACTTAAGGCTGATGCCCAAGCATCTTGGCTAAAATTCTTAGTGTTGGTTGCTCTTTGTTCTGCTAACAAGCTTATCTCTTGTTCTGGGGACTTAACCCGTTTGCAATTGAGCCCAATTAAATCCAGTGGGGGATGCCTCCAGTGAAAGGGCTTCTCTTTTCGTTCTTTCAGTGGAACTGATTTGTCCTGAAAGTATTTGCCTGAAACCATTTCATAGCTTCTGAAGGCTTGTCTGGGAAGTTGCTCCTCAGTTTCTATTCTACAAAATGTTTCAGAATGATTCATTGGAACCTGGAAAGGAAGGTCACTCAGTCTTTTCACCAGCAGAGCACAATATTGTGGCTGCGTATTTGATCACAGCAGGTACTTATTTTTTTCTGTTTGAACAGTTGTTATGTTTTAAAATAGGGGAAGGAAAAGAAAAATGGGAGGATTTTCAGTTATCTCAGGTCAACACGCCTCACATACACTTGGTTTTTGATCATAGTGTGGCATGGGAGAGAAATGAGTAAAAGTCCTTAATTTGCAATTTTAAGTCAAAAGTCTAGCAATGGGGATACAAAGATAAGTAGACTAAGTAGAGAAGAGTTATAATTTCTTTTTTTGAAATATATATGGTGGTTGGGGTTGGGTTGGTTTTCATGAACTTTTCTTATTTTAACCAGACTTCTGATTTCACTGATATGGGGAATTCCTAGTAAGAAACTTCTACCAGTGAAGTTTGACACCTCTGCACCTGACAATAGGGAGTTGCCCAATGATATGAAATGAAAATACAGTGTCTTGAAAAAGAAGAAAGTACTTTAGATTTCCTGGTGGGAAATCTATGAAAATAAAGCATCCTTTCTTAGCATTGATGATGCGTTCAGGAAATCTAGGTCCTACCTAAAAATAGCACTTTTCCCAGAATCATTCCTATTTCTTTAACTCCAGCACAGCTTTTTTTTGGTCAAATGTAATGATTTTTATGCTAAAATGCAGCTAAAAAGACAGTGGAAATATTCAAGCAGATTTTTTTATGGAACAGTTATATTTATAAATCATATTTGCAGCTTTGTGCTGCTGTATCACATTTCTGAAAAAACCTTGTGTTATTTTGGACTTGTTAGTCTCATAAGTATCCTTTAGTTCAGCTGAACTCATTGGATTTTGAGCCTTGATGTTGATTTATGTAATTTTTTGGGGAAGGAGACTAAGTAGAGAAGAGTTATAATTTCTTTTTTTGAAATGCTCATTTTTGAAACCTCATGTTCTTTTAAAATAATATGTAGGTAAAGTCTCATTAATACTAGGAATTGTATCTTCTAACTAGATTGTATGGCCTGGTGAATGGGGCCATAGAAGTGATGTTTCTGGTTACAAGAATAGTAGTTTTCATATAGATAAATATTAATTTCATTATCATATTCTATTATATTGCTATACTACAATTTATTTAAATAATTCTCAAATATTGACCATCTAAATTGTTAATAGTTTTTCATAATTGCAAATAAAGTCATCTTTTTGGACAGGTAACTTCTCATCCTCCCCTCCCCTCTTCATTTTGGCAATACGATTAGGAAATGATAACAACTTAGAGCTTCTTGGGTCAAACTGTGATTATTTTTGTAGTTCTTTTAATGCACTGCCAAGTATTTTTAGAAAAAGATTCTACCAATTAAAAATTCTACCAGCAATGTATGAGTGTACCCATTGTCCATAATGGAATTTTGTTACTTTTAATTATATTTGCCAGTTTGATGGGGGTCAGGTCATACCTCAAAGTTGTTAGGATGTACAACATTTTGTCCTTGAAGCTGAACAGTTTTTAAGTGATTTATGCTTCTGCTTTTATTTATTAATCCTTTGGCTGGATTCATTGGACACAGAGCGATATCCTTAAGTAGTATTATTAGTTCCTCATAAGGGAGAGAGGGAGAGAGTGTGGAGGATGAGGGAAAGAATAAGCGTTTATTAATATAGTGTCTGTTATGTACAAGGTACTAGGCTATATGCTTTTTGATAATGATTATGATGATAGCTAAAATATAGTGCTTATTTATAGCAAGCCAAGCATCATGCTAAGGGCCTTATAAGTTATCTCTTTTTGTCCTCACGACAACCCTGGAAAGTAGGTGCTATTATTATCCCCATTTTACAGATGAGAAAACTGAGGTTAAATGGCACAGCTAGTAAATGTTTAAGGCCAAATTTGAACTCAGATCTTCCTGACTGCAGGCCTGGTGCTCCATCCACTCTGTCACCAGCTGCTTTTAAATGTCAGTTGCCTTATAAATATTGTATGTTAAATTTTTATGTTATATTTACAGAGCAAAATTTAGCTAATTGTTTTAATTAACCGCTTTTTGTTATACAGAAATATTTTTTTCACCAAATCTCCAATAATTTCTCTAGCTAGATCGCTAGTTGGCGCCCTACCGCACAAAGTGCTGGACATGGAGTCTGGAACACCAGAGTTCAAATCCATTCTCCTACATTCATTATCTGTGTAATCCTAGCCACTCACCCAACCTCTGCTTGCTTGTTTCCTCAACTGTAAAATGGGGGTAATAATAGCTTCTACCTCCCAGGGTGGTCATAAGGATCAAATGAAATAGTATTTGTACGGTGCTTAACAATGCCTGGCACAGGTGCTTAGATGATTGATAAACCCTTCCTCCTTTCCCTCCCTCCCTCTTTCTTCCTTTTTCTCTTTCTCCTTTCTTTTCTTCTTACGTACCTTCCTTCCCTCCCTGGTTCCCATAAAGTTTATTTATCATCCGATTCAGTTCACGAAACCTACTATGGACAAAGCACTGTGCTAGCAATGGGGATACAAAGATAAACAAATTAACCAATCCCTAACCTCGAGGAATTTAAGTTTATTAGAGCACCATTAAACTTAGGTAGTTAGGTGGTATAGTGGGTGCTTGTCTTGGGGTCTGGAAGACCTGAATACGTCAGATATTTATTTGCAGCATGACTGTGGGGCCAGTCATTTAACTTTTATTTTCTTTATCTGTTAAATGAGAGAGGTAGACATAATGATATCTATGGCCCCTTCCAATTCTGAATTTATGGTTTGATGAAAAGATAAATATAACATTTCTTTTTGTTCCTTTTTTCCTTCTTGATGACTCACAAATTGTTCTACCTTGTCGATATTTCCATTGGGATGTTCTCACCAGCACCTTAAATTCAACATGTCCCAAACTCAGCTCATTATCTTCCCCTCAAATCAGCTTTGTCATTTAACTTTTCTGTTTCTGTTAATGGCACCACTATTCTTCTAGTCACTCAAGCTTATATCCTTGGGACCACCTTTGACTCTTTCCTCTCTCTCCCCCACATCAAATCTGTTGCTAAGTTCTACTTTCACAGTATCTTCAGCATATGGACTTATTCTCCATTTCAATTCTCTCTAATTCAGTACTCTCCATTGCAAACATCCAAGTTTATTAGGACTTGAATATACTAGATTTGATAATCAAGTGCTAATCATCAGATCATATTATATAGGGATAATAATTACATTCTTGAGAGTTGATGATATTGCCAAGAGATAAGAGTATAGTGAGATAAGAGAAGAGAACCCAGGACAGAGCCTTGGAGAACGTTCACAATTAGGGAGGAAACACTTATATAAGCACCCCTGATTCATGTCTTCCTCTTAGCACACTTTCTTACATCTCACAAGATTTCACCTTGACCTTTCTTTTGGTTTTCATACTGTGCCCAGACAGTATTTTCAGACAGTCACAGTCCCTATAGTTCTTGAATCCACATACACGGAGAATTTCTGTCTTATGTCTCCGGGCATCCATCTCAAGTACCCTATGAGTCCTTGGGTAAAGGGTATGACATATAGGTTATGATACAGCAAGCAAGACTGGAGAGTAGTGGTCAGAGTAACAGGAAAGGTAGGAGGACCTGGAGAAAACAATTTAAGGAAAAAAGGTAGAGGAGAGTACATGCAGGAAGGGAGTGGTCAGTGGTATCAAAAGCTGCAGATAGGTCAATATGGAAGAGGACTGAGAAACAGCCATTTAGAGATCATTGGTAACCTTGGAGACAGCAGCTTGTTTAGTGGTTAGGTTAGTAACCAGATTTCTAAGGGGTTAAGAAGTGAGTGGGAGTTAAGAAAGTAGAAACAACAAATATAAGACATAGGTAATGTGAAGCAGTTTGGTTATGAAAAGGAGGTATGATTTAGAATGGTAGTTTAAGGGAATGGTAGGGTCATGAATCCATTCTTTCTTTTGTTTGTTCATAGAATGGATGAAATCTGGACTTGTTTGTAGGTATTGAGGAAGGAGACAGTAGATAAAGAGATTGAAGATGAGAGAGTGGAGGGGTGATCCAAGGGGCAAGTTACCAGAGGAGATAGATAAAGGGATGGGATCCGGGGTAACATATAAAGGAGTTGGCCTTGGCAAGGATGATTTCTTCTTCTAAGATGGAGACAAAGAAGAGGAGAATGGAGAATGATGTAGAGTGATTTTGAAATACAGAAGGAGGGATCTCGGGGCCAGTGGCTTCTTTTCTCAGTCAAGCGTGACAAGGTCTTTAGACAGGGAAAGGAAAGGGGTTGTATAGCAGAACAGAAAAGTTTTGAAATACTGACTATGGAAGAGTGTGAAAAAGAACCAGTAAGAGAAAAATAAAAGGACTGCCTTGAAGGGATGAGGGTCTATTTGAGATTTAAAAACATACATTTGAAGCTGTGTCACAGGGTCAACAATAGCTGAATCCTTGACATCACCTTTTGATTCCTTCTCTGTTTTCTTTTGTATACCTGTGCCAGAGCCCTTGCAATCAGCAGCCTGAAGTCATCAATGGGACATCAATTATCTTTCTAATTATTTAAGTCTTCCTTTGTTTTTGCCTTTGTTTTATAATTGACTTCTCAAAAGTCATATGGGTTCAAGTAAGCTAATCATCTGATATTTAATATTTGTTTTATTTAATATTTTAAATTTATATTTAGTTTTACTTATATATATAATATATAATTATAGCATCAATTTAATTATATTAATATTTAACAGTAATATTTAAATTATTAAATGTAAATTAAATTAAATATTAAATAAAATTTAATCTTTTGGTTATTATGCAGACTTGACATTTTAATATTTTATTGGTTTTAATTACTTATTAATGTTCTCTCTGTTTTCATTTTACTTTATTTTTATATGTGTTTACTCTCAGTAAGAGGGTAAACACCTGGAGGATTCCTGGTGGCCACACTCTCTAGTTCCAAGTTTTTTTTGGGTCCTCACCTATTCAAACTGGCATCTCACGAACCTCAATCTGATGCTTCTTTTCCATTTATGTTGCATGCCCTATTTTCTTGACTGTTTAGTTCACTTTGCATCAGTTCATGTAAGTCTTTCCATTCTTTTCTCTGTTCATCATATTTTATTTATTTATTTTTAGTTTTCAACATTTACTTTTATAAGATTTTGAGTTCTAAAATTTCCCCCTCCTTCCCCTCCCTATTTATCATATTTAAATGACAATTTTGAGTGTGTTCTGAGATCTTTAAAGAAAAATGGTCATATGGGTTGCAGATTGGTGGGACTGGTTGCTAAGGCATTCTAAGGTAACTTCTCTCACAAAGTGAGAGACGCCTTTCTCGATTTTTCTGAAGAAGAGAAGGGAATTGAGTTAGAATATCTGACACAGGTGAGACCTAGTTAATGAAAACAGGAACTGTGGCTAAGGACCAGGGCAACAGTGGATAGCCTCAGACACTTACTACCTGTGTGACCCTGGGCAAGTCACTTAACCCAGTTTGCCTCAGTTTCCTCATCTGTAAAATGAGCCGGAGAAGGAAATGACAAATCACTCTAGTATCTTTGCCAAGAAAACCTCAAATGGGGTCACAAAGACTCAACAACAGCTAAGGAACCAAGACCCAGAGGAGTTGGTCACAATGGGAGTCTGGATGCTGGCTCTATCATCGTTAAGGGTATTCTGGGGTTTGCAGACTTTTAAGTGCAACTACTTCCCCCGCTTGCTAGTGCTTCCTCCAATCCACTGTCTTTGTATCAGTGAAGCTCCTGGTCAGGATGTCGACAAAATGGTACTACAATGATCATTTCTGGCTGCTTTGATGTTCATATCAATCTTGCTTTTAGATGTGTCCAAATTATACTGAGTGCCTTGTTTTCTGTGTCTTTGTAGGTGTGATAAGTATTCTCAGCAATGTCATTGTGCTGGGCATCTTTGTTAAGTACAAGGAACTTCGGACAGCAACAAATACCATTATTATAAATCTGGCTGTTACTGATATAGGGGTTAGCAGCATCGGTTATCCCATGTCTGCTGCTTCAGACCTGTATGGAAGTTGGAAATTTGGACATGCTGGATGTCAGGTACTTGAGAGCTTTTGGGCTGTTAGAGAATAATATGGAACAAGAACATTGGTTCTGGAGTCAGAAGATCTAGGTTCAAATTCTCCTTCTAAAACTTACTGTGTGATCTTGGCCAAAACTTCCCTGTGGCCAAGTGTCCTCAACTGTAAAATGAAATTGTTGGACCTAAGTAGGGGTTCTTAACCTGGCTGGGATCTGTGGACTTAAAAGAAATGTGATTTTTGGATTTCCGTACAATTGATTTCCCTTGTAATCCTGAATATTTTATTTCTTGCATTTAAAAAAGTTATTCCAAGAAGAAAAATTATTCCTAGAACCTGAGCCCCATCAAACAAAGGCACCATTTTGCTTGAGAAAGAGAGTTTTAATGGGGACTATCTGTCACATGGACTATAGAGAAATGATTAAGAGATCTAGAATAAATTCAGAGACTGCCAAAGGGGTCCATAACACAAAAAAGTTTCTGAACTTCTGTATTAAAGAAACTTTGAAGTCCCTTCCTGCTCCTGAGTTATGATCCTGTATCTTAAATACTAAAAGCAATTTCATTTTTGGAAAAAGGAAAGTAATTTGAATTTTTTTTTCTTTTAAAGAGGACTTATTATTTTAAGTGAGAATCTTGTCAGATCTCATATCTAGTGCTTTTAATGACAACGGCTTGTTGGATTGTTAGGAATTTACTGTTGACCGGAATGACATCGGAGGATTGAATAGGCACATTTTTTTCATCAATCCAAAATCTGTGACATAGAGGAAAGAACACTGAAGGGGAAATCAGAAGATGGGATTCTAGTTCTGGTCTAGCTACTAGGCAGCTGTGTGTCAGAGGTTGGGGATCCTAGCAAAGGGGGAAGTGCTCCCAAAGCTGCAGGTGTATGTAGATGCTAATGAACATTTGTGAATTTGCTTGGTGAGAGGACCACCAACTTTTACCAACTGTTTTTGAGCCTGCCATAACCCAAATGTGTTGGGGGAGAGGGGAAGGATTCTTAGCATCTCTGGGTCTTGCACATATTGCATCTAGGACCTGAGCCCCATCAAACAAAAGCACCATTTTGCTTGAGGAAGAACATTTTAATGGGGACTATCAGTCACATAGACTATAGGGAAAATTATTAAGAGAACTAGAATAAATATAAAGGACATAGAATATCAGCTTAAAAATAAAGACATCAAATCAACCACCATTTATTAAGCACCTGCCAGGTACTGTGCTAATCTCTGGAGATACAAAGAAGAGGAAATGGTGGGACTTGCTCTCAAAAAACTCACATTTTAATGTGGGAACTGACACGTAATCACCTATGTATCAACAAGACATATATACAGGATAACTTGGAGGGAAGGTGCTAGTATTAAGGGTGACTAGGAAAGGCCTATTGCAGAATGTAGTATTTTAGCTGAGATTTGAAGGAGGTCGGAGAACCAAGGGGGCAGCTAGGTGGCTCAGTGGATAGAGTGTAAGGCCTGGAGTCACGAAGACCTGAGTTCAAGTGCAGCCTCAGACTCTTACTAGCTGTGTGACCCTGGGTCACTTAACCCAGTTTCCTCCAGTTTCCTCATCTGTAAAATGAACCGGAGAAGGAAATGGCAAACCACTCCAGTCCCTTTGCAAGAAAATCCCAAATGGGGTCACTAAGAGTCAGATATGACTGACTCATAATAACAGGTGAGCCGAAAGGCAGAGAAGAAGAGGGAAGACATTCCAGGCATGGGGGGCAGTTAATGAAAATGCCTGGAGTTGGGAGATATGTTGTATGTTCAAGGAACAGCCAAGAGGCCAGTGGTGCTGGATTGAAGAGTATGTAGATGAGGATGAAGTGTAAGGATACTGGAAAGGTATGAAGGGGCCATATTGTGAAGGCCTTTAAAAGTCAAATGATTTTATATGCAACTGTTGGCTCAAAGGGCCATTTGCATAAAATTCTTCTGACTCAGAGATATTCGATGCTCTACACCTTCCTGGCCCCAGTTCTACTATTCTATGGTCCTAATAATAACTTACATTTACAAATTACTTTCCATACATCATATTATTTAATGTATCTTGTCAGGTCCAGAAGTCATGCAGAAAGTTTCACAAACTTTAAATGTAAGTTATAATTATGATCAACCCTTTTTTTCAGTTGAAAAAACTGAGTCTCTGCAATATCAAGTGACTGGCCCAGAGTCACACAACTAGTGACCATTAGGTCATACTGTCTCTCTAACAGTAGCCATTCCCAACCAAGCAGAGTTATGCACACTTGTACATGAATTTTCTTTTAAAATTTTAAAATCTTATTTTGTTAATATCTTTTGATTTCATATCAATTTCGTTTTTGAATGTACTCCTCTATGTTCTCCTACCCACTGAGTTATCCCTCGTAACACAGATTGAAAAAGAAAGAGGAAACATCTTTTTGTCTTAAAAAAATACTATTTGTTATATGGGATGGTTCTCTGGGAAGGGAAAAGGATGGGGAGAGACCCTGGAGTAGGAAATGGCAAACTACTTCAGTATCTTTGCCAAGAAAACTCCAAATGGGTCATGAAGAGTTGGGCATGACTGAAACAACTGAAAAACAACAACAACTTGGGCAAAACTGTGATGTAAAAAACAAAAGACATCAATAAAAACTGATTTTTAAATTTTAAGATAAAAACTTATTTTTCAAAAAAGAGGAATAAAGTTCAACCAAGCTAAGCAACACGTTGATGGAGTCTAGCACATTCCACATCCGCATTTCCTCACTTCTGCAATGGAGAGAGGAAAAGTACATTTTCTCAACTTTTTTCCGGGTCCAAGCTCAGTCATTCTAATTATGTGGCATTCAGTTTTTTTGTTCTTTTGATTTACATTGCTCTAGTCATTTGTTGCACATATATTTTCAAACCAGTTTCTGTGGTTGCCTTTTCAACAACAAATAGTTTTGTGGACTGATTATAGTATCCAAGAAGTTTAGTTCAGTTACCATATTGTTATAGTAAAGGTTTCCATTAAAATTCTCCATTTAGAATTAAGCATTAGAGATCGTCCCTGTTTTATTTAATATCAAGAAAACAAATTAAATCTGAGTTTTTGATGCATTAGTTGAGTTGAATGGGCATAATAGTAAGCCAAAGGTTACTTTTTTTTTTTAAACCATGGAAAGAACAAATGACTATTTCTGTTATAAAATGTATTAAACTGGAGTCATTATCTTGAGGAAATCTTTTCAGATATGATTTCATCACAATGCTTGCCTGAAATGAACTTATTAAAACAGTTAAAAAACAAAACTCAGTTATTTTACTGATTAAGAATTAGTAAAATTGAGGCAGCTAGGTGGCACAGTGAATAGAGCACCAGCCCAGGAGTCAGGAGGACCTGAGTTCCAATCTAGCCTCAGACACATAACACTCGCTAGCTGTGTGACCCCAATTGCCTTACCAAAAAAAAAAAAAGTAAAATTAAAATATGCCTGAATAGAGATAAACATTTTTGAATCTAACATCACCTTTAATTGCTTCTTAGAGGGGTGATTAAAATTGTGTCTGATTTTTGCTTTCAGATTTATGCTGGTTTGAACATCTTTTTTGGAATGGCAAGTATTGGATTACTCACTGCTGTGGCCATTGACCGGTACCTGACCATCTGTCAGCCTGACCTTGGTACAGCTCTGTCCTCACGGGCTTTCAAAACAGATTAATGATGAGGGCTGAGTCATTGCACCATTCTACACAGTATTAATTTTATGTGAGGTCCATGCTCATTTTTGCAGGGTAGTTGATCCTTGGCTGCAATCCAAGCTCCTTTGCCTTATGGAATATCATGTTCTATGCCCTGTGGTCTTTTAATGTAGAAACTGCAAGGTCCTGTGTAATCCTGACTGTGGTTCCATGATATTTAAATAGTTTCTTTCTGGCTGCTTGCAGCACCTTTTTCTTTCATCTGGTAATTTTGGAATTTTGCTACTATATTCCTTGGTGTTGTCAATTTGGAATCTCTTTTAGGTGGTAAGCGGTGTATTCTTTCTATGATTATTTTACCTTCTGGTTCTAGGACTTCAGGGCAGTTTTCCTTTATGATTTCCTGAAAGATACTGTCCAGGCTCTTCCATGATTTTCAGGTAGTCCAATGACTTTTAAATTGTCTCTCCTGGATTGATTTTCCAGGTCGGTTGTTTTACCGATGAGGCATTTTAAGTTTTCATCCAGTTTTTCATTTTTTTGTTTCTGTTTGACTGATTCTTGCTCTCTCATAGAGTCATTAGTTTCCATTTGTACAATTCTAGTTTTTAACAGATTGTTTTCTTCTGTTAGTTTTTGTACTTCCTTCTTCAATTGGCCAATTGTATTTTTAAGGGATTTGTTTTCTTCAGTGTACTTTTTTTCCAGTTTGCCAATTATGTGTTTTAGGGACTTGTTTTCTTCAATGTACCCTTTTTTCCAATTGGCCAATTGTATTTTTTAAGGACTCTTCTACCTCTCTCATTAGAATTTTAAAATCCTTCTTGAGCTCTTCTAAGAAGGCTTTTTGGGCTTCAGACCAGTTCATATTCCCTTTTGATGTTGCAGATGTGGGTTTGTTGACAATGTTGTCCTCTTCAGAATTTCTGTCTTGATCTCCACTCTTCTCATAATATGAATCTGTGGTACGTTTCTTTTTATTCATGGTTTCTTTATTCCCTGGCCTTTAAAGAGATTGAGCTCTCCTGCTGGGGAACAGAGGGCACTGACCCAAGCTTTGTGTTGGGAGCCTAGGTCTTGGTTGCTGGCTTTGTGTGCTTGGCCCTCTTATGTTGGCAGTTGGAGGCTGTAGGGTTTTGGCAGCTTACCTCATGTTGGGCTGGGACTTTCAGGCAATTCTAGGTTGCCTGCTTTTCCTTTCCTTTAGCTTTCTTCAGCTCCTTTTAGATGGGTGCTGCAGGGTGTTTATCTACCTGGGGCCCCTTGCAATGATGCCTCCCTCGTTTCTGCTAATACACTGGGAGATTCCTTTGTGGTAGAGTGCCAAGGCACCTGATGGTTTTCTGAGCTGGTTTCCACCAGTTCCCCTGCCCTCACTGAGGCACTGGGAGGTCCAGGTGTTGGTGTTTGCCTGCTCTACCACCTGGGCTTCAGGATCTCCTCCTGGCTCACAGTTGGAATTGTTGGGTTGGAATCAGCAAGGCTGAGACTTTAGGAAGACTCAAGGTTCTTTTCTTCAGCTCCTTTCAGATGAATGCTGCAGGGTGTTTATCCACCTGGGGCCCTTTGTAGTGCTGCTTCCCTTATTTTTGCTGAAGCGCTGGGAGACTGGTTTGCTGGGTTGCTGCCCTGCTGTTCCCATCTTTCTTTTAGTTCAGCTGTTCCAGGGTTTTGTTGTTGTTGTTGTTGTTTTTTTTTGTTCTAGGGTGATATTTTCTGGGTTTTCAGAGGTTGATAGGGGGAGGGTGAGAGCGAGTACCTTTTTCACTCCGCCATCTTGGCTCCTGGAAGCGAAAGACCAATTAGCATTTATTAAGTACCTAATATGGATAGGATATGGTTAGGATACAAAGAAGACCAAAAAAATCCCTAAACTCTACTCTTCAGCAGCTCAGTCTTTGTTTTGACCTCATGGACTCCCTGAAAGGGTTTGAGAGACTCCCAGGACTCCCTGGATCATACTTTGAGAACCACTGATCTAGCATATAACCTCTTTAAAAGCTACTTTCCATTTTAAATCTTCATCTTCAGCTCAGGCTTCAACTTGGTCCTTTCTGACAACTTCCTATTAACCACATGGTCAACCTGAAAGTATGCCTGTAGCCACACTCATCAGTAATTTTGTTCCTTATTGTGACTCCATACCATACTAAACTATCGTGTCTCTTTAGTATTTTTTAGGATGACCATTGACTTTGAGTTCAACACATGGTTTAGTTTTATACTTTTGTTCTTACATTTAGGACAACTGCTTACTTCATTTCTTCCCATTTTCTTCAAAAAAAAATCTCCTACATAATCCATCTTCTCAGAGATGCCCAAGAAACCTTGTGCCTGATATCATAATCTCTTCTTCAGGTTTCTAATATTGAAAGTAACACGCAAACTAACCTAGAATGTCAATTGCGTTTTTAGAAAAAAGATTATCAATCTGTTTCTATCATTCTATCTACTGATCAATGGCTCACAGTGAAATCACAAGCAAGGTGCTCAGGTGATATTGAAATCTATCGTCCTACAAAAGAAGGGATATAGAAGAACAAGAATATGATCCATATTGCATTGGGACCATATTTGTTACACATGTAGTGTCATAAGGTAGCTCTTGGGTCACAGCTGATTGTTTTTCTGAGATGGTTTTTAGCTGAAGAATTCTTATGTTTTTCTGGATTCCAGCTTACCTTTCTCTGGAGAATCAGTTTTTCTTTGGTTGAGATTCAAGTCCAGATATCACACACGAAGCAGTAGAGCTGAGGTGTTTTGTTTTCTTTTTAATAATTTTTCTGACAGGCTCCATTTCCAACATTGGGGGATTCTATGATTTTCTTGACCCATTTACTGACACAGTTTAATCAGTATTTCTGTCATATCCTGAAGAGGGCAACTAATATCCTGAAGAGGGTCAATCAGCTGACTGAACTCTTCATTACCTAGAGACCAGACAATGAAACTGGAGTAGGGATGGATGGGTAAGTGCTTGAGTAGAGAGAGAATCTTTCCATTTGCCAAATTGAATGTTGTAAGTATTACAGAGATGGCAGATAGGTGCTAAGCAGTGAGTAGGTCACAGACTAAATTAGTTTACCTGCTTTTGATAACATAATACCTTTAATAATGAAGTATGCTGTGCAGTGGGTCACAGACAAAATTAGTTTATTTGTCTTTGATAATACAATACCTTTAATAATGAAGTGTGTGTACATACTCAAAGTTTGAGAGAAGGAAAATGCTAAAATGTTAAAAACCTAAATTAAAAAAAAAAGCAGTCGACCTACTTAATTAGAGTTTAACTCAATCCCAGCTTTAAAAAAAATCAAGTGGAAGTAGAGAACAGTTTATTGATGAATGATATCAGCATTAATTATGTCTATTGGTCAATAGGAAGAAGAATGACTCCTTACAATTACACCATAATGATTCTGACTGCTTGGGTGAATGGCTTTTTTTGGGCCTTGATGCCCATAATAGGTTGGGCTGGTTACGCTCCGGATCCGACAGGTGCTACGTGTACCATAAACTGGCGGAAGAATGATGCGTAAGAGAGCTTTATTATGTAAAGTCACATGCTACAAATTTTGGAATTTCTACATTTCTCTGGATTTTGACTTAGTCCATTTATTTCTTTTCTGCTTAAAGAATATTCCTCAACCTCACAGATGTTTTGAAAACCTGAAGAGTTTCTAGACAGAGATTGATACAGGGCAGTTTAAAATGGTGGGGATGGACTGAATGGGAGGTGAAATTTCATATGAGTTTTTAGATTACAGAGACTTTGAGAGCAAGACAAAAGATATGGGGGAAGTTCTGTTAGTTGTTTGGAGGGAGTTCCTTTTCTCCTTACCTATATACCTAGATGGGCAGCTAGGGGGTGAAGTGGAGAGAACATTGGGCTTGGAATCAGACTCATTTTCATGAGCTCAAATCTGGCCTCAGACACTTACTACCTGTGTGACCCTGGGCAAGTCACTTAACCCTGTTTGCCTCAGTTTCCTCATCTGTAAAATGAGCTGGAGAAGGAAATGGCAAACCGCTCCAGTACCTTTGCTAAGAAAACCCCAAATGGGGTCACAAAGAGTTGGACACGACTGAAAAACAACATATACCTGTATCTTTTCCCTTCCTCTTGATATTCACTGTGAGTGGAGGGTATTTGTAGAAGCCCCTGAGAGTAGGACCTAGAATGGAGAAGAGAATTGGGGGTGAGGTAGGGACCCAGAATTTGTAATAATGATTCTCAAGGTCCTAGTATCTACTCATTCCTTACAATCTTTAAGAGATTTCCTAGGAATTAAACATCTTTTGGGTATTGTGTAGACAAAGTACAGCTTCCACAAGAATTCTGGAGAATAGCTAAACTAAGTCCTGCTATATGATTTTCCTGGGAGAGTGGAGTTCATCAAAAGAATATTACTATGAAAATCAGAAACAGATCTCAATTAACTTTTAAAAAGATGACTTTTCTTTCAAAAATAGACAAGCTTCCTAAGAGAATTGCTAGAGTGATCTCTAGATAGGATTAATTTGCTCTAGCTATTAATTTTTTGTTTGAAAATTCTTTAGAAGGTAATAATTGCCTTTATTTTTCAGATCTTTTATTTCTTACACAATGACTGTTATTGCTATAAATTTTGTCATGCCCTTAGTGGTCATGTTTTATTGTTACTACAATGTTTCTCAAAAGATGAAACAATATACTCCTAGCAGCTGCCCTGAACACATAAACAGAGACTGGTCAAACGAAGTTGATGTAACAAAGGTAAGACAGTGGTAGTTCTTTTAGAAAATTACTTGCAATTTTCATTGTGTAAATGCTTTTATCACTTTTATGCTTTTCTGTTGCAATCAGCTGAGCTCCATGTCTGCTATTCTACCCCACCTTTATCCTCCAACATGGCATGTGGAAAGTTGTCAAAGGTGATAGGCCCTTACCCTAAGTGATAGGGCAGTTTCGGGTTATGCATAAGGCAGGGCTATTTTTCTTAGGCTCACAAATATTTGCTGCCATCACGGTCTCTCACCTTGCCACTTGAATGAGGGATACACTGCCTTTCCCCTTCCTCCTTTCCTTTGCTTGTGCCTGGCTCCCCCCGCCCCCCAACCCCTACTTCCCTGGGCAGTTCCCATCTCTGGCCAGTAGCTGCTTAGCAGTTCCCAGCCCTGCCAAAAGAAAGGGAGAGGGGTCAGAATGCTGACATGACACTTTTTAGAGATCACCAACCTGTGTTCTGGGCAGCCAGATGGCATAGTGGATAGAGTGCCAGACCTGGTGTCAGAAAGGCTCATCTTCCTGAGTTCAGATCTGGCCTTAGACACTGGCTGGCTGTGTGACCCTGGACAAGTCGCTTAACCTCATTTGCTTCAGTTTCCCCATCTGTAAAATGAGCTGCAGAAAGAAGTGGCAAACTGCTCCACTATCTTTGCCAAAAAAACTCCCAATGAGACTCCCGAAAAGTTGGGCACAGCCAAAATGACTGAACAACAGCAGCGAACTTATGTTCTAGGGTTGCCCAAATTTGTGTGAGATTCTCAAAGTTAACTTAGCATGTGGCTAAATGCGTTCATGCTGTGCTTACTCTGGTACTGGAGCTATCCCTGGACGTATAAGGAAGATGAAACTGAGGGAGTATGTATGCACAGTATAAAACTCCCAGTCCCAAGAGGAAGTATAGGAAATGGACCTGTGATTTCATTGGTGTAGGGACTTTCCAGGTGAGGAAATTCCCTTCAACAGCATCTATTAAGTGCTTACTGCATGCCAGATGCTGTGCAAAGCCCAGGGGGATATAAAAAGTTTCTGCCATGCATTCTGATGAGGGAGACAGTGTGTAAAATGACTATGTACATAGTAGATATATGCAGAATAGATGAGGGTAATTTGAAAGAAGACATTAGCAGCTAGGGGGAGGTCATCACCTTCTGAGGCAGGTCATAGCATAGTGGCTAGACTACTGGCCCGAAGTCAGGAAGACTGGAGTTCAGATTTGGCCTCAGATACTAGCATTGTGATCCTGGCCAAGTCATTTAACCTTCATTTATCTTGGTTTCCTCAACTATAAAATGGGGATAATGATGGTACCTAATTCATAGGATGTTGTGAAGGTCAAATGAAATAATATTTGTAAAAAGTACTCAGCATAGTGCCTGGCACATGATGGGGACTATGTAAATGCTTCTTCTCTTTCCTTCCCCTACAATTTGTATTTTTAGAGATTTGCTTTATAGTAATGAAAAGTTAAGTGACTTGCCTAAGGTTCACACAGTCCGTAAGTGTCAGAGGCAGGACGTGAACTCCAGACTTCCTGGCTTTGAGGACAGCTCTGTAATTGTTATACCACAATGCCTTGCCCCAGTATGAAGCCAGAGAATTTTTGTATACTGAAGTATTCAAATTGACACATGTTTTGTTTTCCAGATGTCTGTGATAATGATTTTAATGTTCCTGCTTGCCTGGTCCCCTTATTCTGTTGTGTGCTTATGGGCTTCCTTTGGGGACCCAAAGGAGATTCCCCCAGCAATGGCCATCATAGCCCCTCTCTTTGCAAAATCTTCCACCTTCTACAATCCCTGCATATATGTGGCTGCCAACAAGAAGTAAGTGCTTCTAAACAGAAACTATAAACGCTGTATTGATATAAAAAGGTAACAGGTATGAGTTGATGGCATAGGTTTGGAGTTGGTAGGGACCTTGGAGATCATCAGATCCAAATTTCTCCTCTTCTAGGTGAGGTTCCTGAAACCCAGAGAGAGCTAAGGGATTTGTCCAAAGTCACAATGCTAATGAGGCAGAATTCAGACTAGGTCTAGCACTCTATTCACTAAGTCATGTTGCCTCTCAGATTTCATCTAAACCCAGGGAAGCAGTCTGATGTTAATTAAAGAGCCCTGGGACTGGGTGGTCATCGTTTTAGGCAAACAAGGTCTCTTCTGTGTGTCTTCTTCAGGGAGAATTCCCCTTTACTTCTCCATCTCCAATACCCCCCCCCAAAACAATTTACATTTTATGTAAATTAGGAGGAAGGACGGAAGGAATTGATTCTACTGAAATATTTCACCTGGAAGATTTAATATAGAAGAAGGAATTTTGAAACTTAGGAATTTTGAAGAAGGAATTTTGAAATTTAAAAAAATTCTCGAACTCCAGTGCTTGCTGCTGAACTTTTGTGTGCCTAAAGATATACCTTAAAAAATAAAAAAAGATATGTGTGCACAGTAGATGCAGAGAGAAACACCTGTTGTTAATGATCCAACAAGGATAATATCTACAAACAGGAAGAATGATTATTGTATTCACCCACCAATTAGTGTCCTCTCTGGAGTTCTGTTGGGATGGATAATCATTTGAAAGCTCAAGAACCTGGGACCCTGACTGAGGGTCCTTGTCTCCTCCCTTAGACTATAAACGCTTTGTCAGCAGGGATCATTTCATTGATTATTTTGTATTTCCAGTGCCTGAAACATAGCAGGTGCTTAAAAAATGCTTGTTGACTGTTTGATTGCAATTGTCATTGTAAAAATTTTTTGTAAGGTTGGACCTCTGCTAGGAAGTAGAAGATTATGAAATTCATGTTGACGTTGCTCCACCACACCCCCTCTGGTGATTTGGCAGATTGGCATCTTCCTGCCTAATGGCCTTATAAAGTTGCTGGGGGCGCTGAGTAGAGAAGTGACTTATTCCAGGATCACACAGTTGATATATGTCAGAATCTGGACTTGAATCCAGGTTTCACTTACTGTATTAAGTAGGTGGTACAGTGGATAGAGTACTGGACCTAGAGTCAGGAAGACTTGAATTCAAATGTGGCCTCAGACACTTACTAGCTATGTGACCTTGGGCAAGTCACTTGACCCCATTTGCTTCAATTTCCTCATCTGTAAAATGAGCTGGAGCTGGAGCTGGAAATGGCAAACTACTTCAGTGTCTGTGCCAAGAAAATCCCAAATGGGGTCATGAAGAGTTGGGTATGACTCAAATAACTGAACAACAACAATTAACTACATCATGCTTACTCTTTAAATTCAATGAATAAACATTTATGAAGCACTTACTATGTGCCAGTTACTTTGCTAAGCACTAGGGATACAAAAAGAGGCAAAAGACAGACTTTGCCCTCAAGGAGCTTACAGTCTAATGGGGTAACACCATATAAACATTTATACAAAGCAAGCTGTTTACAGGATAAGTAGGAAATAATGGAGGGAAGGTACTGGGGTTTGGGGAAGGCTTCTTGTAAAAAGTGGGATTTTAGCTGGTACTTAAAGGAAGCCAGGAGGTCAGTATTCTGGAGCTGAGAAGAGAGAGCCAGGCATAGAGGACAACCAGAGAAAATTCCCAGAGCCTGGAAATGGAGTGTCTTGTTTGTGAAACAGCCAGGAGGCCAGTTTCATTGGATGGAAGGGTACACGTAAGGTATGAGAAGACTGGAAAGGTAGAAGGAGGGCAGGTTTTAAAGGGATTTTAATGCCAAGCAGAGGATTTTGTATGTGATTCTGGAGATGACAGGAATCATATTTCAGCTGAAAGGCAGTAGACTAAAGTCCTCAAGTAAACAAATGGTTGCAGTTTTCAGAATAGAAGTATCTTGTCTCACATAGGGAATGAACATTAAATGACTTTATAATTTTTTCCCCCAATTTATGGACAATAATCTGAATTTGGTCTTTAGACAGTTTCCATTTCATGTATTTTTAAAGGTATTGAAGTGGAGATGTTAGACTTAGAAAACATTTGAAAGTTTTATAAGAAACCAATCTTTCAAGCAGTTATAGTATAACAGACAGATTTCTCCCTTTCCTCATAGGTTCCGGAGAGCGATATCTGCAATGATCCGATGTCAGACTCATCAATCAATGCCTGTATCCAACGCGTTACCAATGAACCTAACTTGAGATCAGCTTTTCAATTATGAAAGGGAAAAGAGCCAAACTACATCATTTTCTTCATTCTTTGCTGTATTCTAACTTTCATACTTAATGTGCCCACAAAGCTGGGAACTATTTGGATTCATATACTGACTTGGATTCTCAAAAGCCGGAACTGTTGTCTAATTTTATTTCGTGTGCCCTGTCATGCTTAACATGGTGCATACGTCGTTCCATAAGTATTTGAATTGTGGAATGGAATATTCCCAGCTAGTATATTTTTAAAAAACCCAACACCTTATTTAATTTTTACTTCTTCTCCTTCTAATAAAGTTATGATTTTTTTTAAAAAAAAGATCAAGTCAGTATTTCCTTGGCAGTGTTTAAAGAATAAAGTCATAGCTCATTTAATCTTCCTGTATATTTCTTTTTGCTTATTTTGCTCCTTTTGGCATAACTGGTTAGTCTTTTTGTATAATGATTCAGATTAGTATAATCAATAGAGATCAAACCTTGAAGTCTAGAAGATATGGATGAAAGTCCAGTCTCTGACACATGGGGATTATGTGACCCTGGGCAAATCATTTAACCTCTCAAGGTCCCAGGCAACTCTAATTGATCTGCATTGGTAGAGGGATTTTCCTCACTGGGATCTCCCCATACAAATGGACTCACAAGTCTCGACTAAAATCAGTGTTGTCAACTCAGATGCTAAATAGAAGGAGCCACTAAATTACAAATGGGTAGTTTTCCAAAAGCTCATTTGTAAGTTTGTTGTTTATAACTTAGAACATATGATTTCAGAGAAGTGACACTGCTAAAGGAGGTTAGTTAGGTTTCTGGGTCAGCTCACAAAAGCCTGTTTAATGCATAATAGGCTATCTTCCTCCAAAAAGTCTCATTCTTTCTGCTCCAATATCTCATTGTAGGGTTAGAGTGACCATGAGTCATTTTTAAAAAATCATTTAGAAATAAGTTATATTGATATATTTTGCTTTTATGTCACTAGCATTCCCCTCATAATAAATAATTCAAAAGAGGGAAAAAATTTCAGAAAAACTAACCAAGATAATGAAAAAAAAATCTGCTGTGAGATGCCTTCTCATATCTCTTCTTTAAGGTAAAATTTGGTCATTATAGTTTTACAATATTCAGTTTTTGTTTTTTTGTTCGTATTGTTCTATTTGTAGGCAGCTAAGTGAATAGTGCCAGGCCTAGAGTCAGGAAGACTCCTCTTCCTGGGTTCAAATTTGGCCTCAGATACTAGCTAAGTGACCCTGGGTAAGTCACTTAACTCTATTTGCCTCAGTTTCCTTGTCTATAAAATGAGCTGGAGAAGGAAATGGCAAACCACTCCAAGTATCTTTGCCAAGAAAACTCCAAATGAGGTCATGAAAAGTTGGACGTGATTGAAAAGTGATTGAACAACAACAATTTTATTTACATTGTTGTAGTCATTATACTTATTATTTTCTTGGTTCTGCTTATTTCATTCTGCATCAATTGATAAAGATCTTTCCATGCTTCTCTGTATTCATCATTTCTTATAGCATAATAATATTCCATTACATTCATGTACCATAACTTGTTTAACCGTTCTCCAAACTGCTTCATTTCCAGTTCTTTGCTTCTATCCAAAGTTCTACTCTAAATATTTCAATGGGCTTTTGTGGGGCCTTTTTTTTGTCTTTGACTGCTTGGCATAATCTCCCAGCAGTGGAATTTCAGCAGTCGGAGTTTTGTGTTGTTGTTGTTTGTTTGCTCGTATTTCCAGCTTGTTGGTTGACTTTTAAGTCTTTGTTAAAGTAGAGCTTTGCTGCCGGGGGGGAGGGTGCACTGTTCCAAGCTCCAGCGGTTTTGTGCAACTGTTTTCAGAGATACTTCTAGGCACCTGTAAATCTTCAGTTCTTCCAAGATGGCGTGATCTAAGGAGAGGTGTTTACTATTCTCCTGGCCTGTGTTCTGGTCTGTGAGAGACCACAAGGACTCTTTTCTGCCCTGGAACCGTGAGGAGGGTCCCCCTTCCACTGCGGCTGCAAGCTCTGCTATGTTAGTGCTCCTTCTTACCCTGGGACTGCCACCTAGGACCTGGATCTGAGTACGGGCAAAGCAACAGAGTCCTGCCTCAGTGCTAGCAAAAAGACCCGTGTGATCTCCTTCTGACCAGATGTTTGACCTCTTTACCATCTGTAGGCTGAGAGCTCCTGAAGTAGCTACTGCTGCTGTCATTACTGACACATTACAGTCACTCCCAAGGCCTGCCCCTGGTTTGCTAGGGCTCAGGCCGCACTAGTGTGTCCCGTGCTAGACTGTGCTCCACTCTCTCACTCAGGTGCTACGTGCCTTTCCTGCTGACCTTCTAAGTTATCTTTGGTGTCCGTGGGCTGAGAGGTCTGGAAACTGCCACTGCTGCCAGTGATTCAGTGCCCCAAGGCCTGCTTTGGGTTTGCTGGGGCCTGGTCTAAAATGCTGCTGCTTGTGCTGGACTATACTTCTCTTTTACCCTGGTGCAACAGACCTTTCCTGCCGACTTTCCAAGGTATCTTGGTCTGGAAATTTGTTTCACTCTGTCTTTTTGTGAGTTCTGCTTCTCTAGAATTTGTTTAGATTCATTTTTAAAAGGTGTTTGGAGGGGTTTGGGGAGAGGGCTCAGGTGAATCCCTGCCTGTACTCCGCCATGTTGGCTCTGCCCTCCAGCAGTGGAATTTCTTGGTCAGAAGGTATGATGGGTAAGCCTGACTTAGATCAGTTCCCTGTTAAAGTAGGTTTGGTGTTGGAACAAAATGAGATAAAAAGAAGGTTTATTTAGGTATGAAACAGAAAGGATATTCAACAAGACTTTTTCTGACTCCAAGGCCGGCTTTCTAGTCACTGTGTCATGCTAGCTCTCACATTAGACTGGAAACTCCATGAGGGGAAGCCCTTATGTAAAGTTTGTTTTTCTTCAATGGCTAGCACGATGCCCTTAAAACAGTATTCACATTTGTTCCATCTGTTTCATGACGGTTGAGTAGGTTGAGACTGCATGCCCAGGTTCTGCAGTCTGTGGGTAGTTTTAATGTGCCAAGGTTAACTATTCAACTTTGCTTTTGTTAAACCTGTGTAGGTGGGGGGTCTCCTGACACACACAGGAGATGAGAAGGTTTGGAGGGGCTTCTAATCTTAGTTGATGAGCAATTGTGTCAATGAAATTACATATCTTTCAAAGTGTCAAATATTGTAGGAACAAATTTTCTATTTTTTGTTTCTTTTCTTTTCTTTTTTTTTGGTGAGGCAATCCGGGTTAAGTGACTTGCTCAGGGTCACACAGCTAGTAAGTATCAAGTGTCGGATTTGAACTCAGGTCCTCCTGATTCCAAGACCACAGCTTTATCCACTGTGCCACCTAGCTGCCCGTATTTCTTGTTTCTGAAGTTGTTTTCATTCAGAGATTATGGATTTCACCACTGTCTGGCTGTTCAATAATACTAAATGATACATCCGTTTATTGACAAATAGCAGTCTCTGCATGCAGGTCTTGCTTTTGACATATACCATCTGTGTGACAGTGGAGAAATCACTTTACCTCACTGCCCCAGGCAGCTTTCCAAGTCTACATGTTACAGAGGGGTTGCTGGGGATTCCCCAATCAATGAAATCACAGGTCTCCATTTGAAAAAAAATCATTTATTTCCTAGATATTTGCTTGTCCCTATGGATTCTCCGTTTTAAAATGGTTACTAATAATTTCTTTTTCTCTTCTTTAATTTTTTTCAATCAACAAACATTTTCTCTGCTTCCTATCTCTGCTTCCTGAAACAGGAAGAAAAACACAATTGTTGTAACATAAATTCATGTTCAAAAGTGTCTGTCTCACTGTACACATTGAGTCCATGACCTCTCTGTCAGGTGTGGAGTGGGAAGGATGTTTCATCACTGGTTCTCTGGAATCATGGTCGGTCTTTGTGTTGATTGGAGTTCTTAGGTCTTTCAGAGATATTCATTTTTGCAATGTTATTGCATAAATTATTCTTCTGTTTCTGCTCACTTTTCTCTGTATTAGTTCACATAAGTGTTCCACGTTTCTCTGAAACTGTCCTTTTTATCCTTTGTTATGGTACAATAATATTCTATCATAATTGTATGCCCCAACTTGCTCAGCCATTCCCCAATTGATGAGCATCTCCTTGATTTCCAATTCTTTGCCACCACAAAACGAGCATTTGTATATATGGTCTTTTCTTTTTTCTTTGAGCAGGTAGGTGGTGCAATGGGTAGAACACTGGGCCTGGAGTCAGGAAGACCTGTGTTCAAATCTGCCTTCAGACACTTACTAGCTATGTGACCCTGGGCAAGTCATTTATCCTCTCTCTGTCTCAGTTTATTCAACTATAAAATGAGGACAATAATAGGACCTATCTCCCAAGGTTGTTGTAAGGCTAAAATATTTATAAATTATTAATATATTATATAAACACAAAATTATTAAATATTATTAAATTAAAATATTAAATATATAATAAATCATAAATATATACATTTATAAAATATTTATAAAGTACCTAGCATACAGTAGGTGCTATATAAATGCTTTCTTCCTACCTTGGGGGTATAAGCCTAGTAATAATAATAATTAACATTTACGTAGTGCTCACTTATGCACCAGAGACTGTGCTCAGTGCTTTATAATTATTATCTTATTTAATCCTCACAACAACCCTGGGAATTAGGTGTTGTTATTATTTTCATTTTACAGGTGAGGAAACTGAGGCAAACAGAGGGTAGGTGACTAGCCCAGGGTCACACAACTAGTAAGCATCAAAGACTGGATTTGAACTCAGGTCTTCCCGACTAGGCCCAGTGCTCTGTTCCCTGTGCCACCTAGCTGGCCCAGTAGTGGTATCATTGATCAAAGGGTAAGTGTGGGTTACTAACTTTTGGGGCAGAATTCAAATTGCTTTCCAGAATGGTTGGACCGATTCCCAGCTCCACCAATAATGCTTTAGCATACTTCTTTTCCCATTGTCTCTGCAACATTTGTCATTTTCCTTTTCATTTAAAAAATCAACTTGGCCAATCTGATGAGTGTGAGGTGGTTGACAATCTCTTTATTCTTAGATTCAATGACCTGTTCTCAGCTTTCATCCTTCTGGGTCTTTCTGAAGCTTTTTGTCACCATTGCCCACCCCCTGGAACTGTGTAAATTCTTGTCTCTTGCTTTTCATGACATTGGCCTCTCCTGGTTCATCTCCTACCCTTCTCACTGCTTCTCAGTTTCCTTTGGACCAAACTGGACTATTAGCTATTCCCTCAGGTCAGCATTCCATCAACCACA